ATGGAGATGTGGAGATGGCTAATTTTGCTGCAAATGAACTTTTCAAGTTAAACTCTCAGAGCCGTCCTGGGGCATATGTAGCATTATCTAATACTCTGGCTGAGGCTGGAAGATGGAACCATGTAAGTGAACTTCGGGAATTGATGAAGAAAAGAGGAATTTCCAAAGGCACTGGCTTTAGTTGGTACGGGAATAAAACTGGCTTAGAAGCTTTTCATGCTGGAAAACAAATGTGAAAATTGAAGGCTAATGGAGTAGCTGAAGTAATATGAGGGTGCATCTTGTGGAGCTTGTTTCAATAATGATGATAGCTGTGCTGCCACTTGGACGTTTGAAAGTGCTTTATTTGGTTAAACGAGAGTTCATCAGCGGAAGCCACCTAGCAAGTCAGAATCAAGCACATTGAGATTAGCTGTGATGTATGTACTTCTATGACTATCTATACCCTTAAGTTCCTGCCATTGAATTGCTAATTCTTCCTATTTTATCCATTTCAAGCATTGTAGTTCTGCAAAGCGCAAGCAAGGCTTTTAAAAGAGCAGGGAAAACAGCCTTGAGTTTATTCAGTTAGGGTGCAGATTGACCTCGGTACTGATTTGAATTTGAGCGGATTCAGTTATGATTTTTGGCTGCTGTTTTAAGATTTCAATGAAATTAGACATTGTAGTTCTGGTAATTTCCTTTTACGCCTAGGGCTCCGTGTGCAGGATTTACAATGGCTCTGCTTCCTAGAGGTTTAAATGTAAAGCAATAATTTTTCCTGAAGGTAGCTTGTGGGAGAACTACATATTCTTTTAGTTCCACATTCGGTTGATTCATCTGGTAGAACTGATAATGAGGTCTAGAACTTCTGGAAAACCTATCTTAGAAATGGCATTATCTGCCTTGGCGATGATCCTCAGACTCATGAGCTTTCACCTTCGCTGAACAATCTTTCTGCAACCCTTTCCACCCATCACATGGCAAAATGGGACAGTGCAAGGCTCAAATCTGAGGCGCGCTTGTGCGCATCCACAGAATCGCTCCTCTTGGTGCCTTCATCAATGATTCAACTGAGAAGTTATACGAGTCCGATTATATTCTGCAAATATGTCAGAGGTTAGAGAAGCATTCTGCTATTTCAATCCTAGTCTGAGAACTTGTCAAAGCCCCACCTCTCAAACTTCTTTATCTATCAACTGGGGATCAACTTCAGGCACCATGAAGGAAGATAACCTCCGTTCAACTGGTAATTCCATGGCATAATATGGGAATTACTATATATTAAAAAAAATGTATAAAAGAAAGATCAGCAGGATTTCTATTATTACGTTCACAGTCAGCAAAAAACAACTCAGGCCATAGCTTTTCATTGTGGCAAATTGTGTACGATCTTGTTCCATTTTGTTAGAGAAGATTGTTAAAAGTCACTCCATTTTTCCTTTTCAAGGTCGTCTTCTTTGTGGGAAGAAGAGTTGTCGATTACATCAAGCGCGGCCCAGTTACTGAAGATGAATCGAAGGTTATCGTTCAGTTTACATGCCATTCTTGGTACCAGGTTCTCTCTTATGTGTCTTGTTTGTTTGTATTACAATGATAGCATTCAATTCAGCCAAGTTCTGTATTGGCTTCTTTCCGTTGACATTGCTCTTGAATTTAGTTAATTGAATGAATGATTCTTGTTATACGTATATCTTTTCAATTGCCTCTCTAAAATTCCTCATGGTGATAGTGGTATCTTCTGCATATTTTTTTGGCTTCAATTCAATAGATTCTGGGAACTGGACATAGTGCTGGTGTAATGCATGATGGCCCAAGTCTTAAACGTGGGAGGAAGAAACCAAATTGGCAAACTTTAAGTCCATGCTTTATTTTACTGCATATGAATTACTAATTTATTGTAGGGTTAGTTTATCGAGTTAATGTAATACTCCCTTCCCTCCGTCTCGAAATTGATATTGTCCAGTTTAAATTTTCAGTTTTAGTATAAATTGAATTAAAAATAAAATTTTAAGTTAATTCCAAACTGTACAATAATTTTAGAATAGAGGAAATAATATTTTCTTGGATTAGGAATTTTACCATCGTGGTTACTTTGATAGGTATTTGAAGTTGTAAACTTGTAAGTCTGTAAGCGTACGATTTGGAGTCTATTTATGTGTAACAGTTAGAACTATTAAGAGGAAATTGGTTTGAGAACAATACTCTTTTTGTCTTAATTTTCTGGAGTTCTCACTTCTTATCTCGAATTGGGTCATTACAGCTAGGATAGTCGGACAATTGCAATTCAATAATCATAACACATCTGCGGTAGGATTAGCCAAAGGAAATATATATTACGTGTTCAAGTGAACCATTGTGGCTCATATGCAGTTTGCAGGGAAGAAACCCAAATTCACGAATGATTCACAAAACTCTGAAGTAGAAACAATTATCATCTCACAAGACTCTTCTAAGATCAAAGGTGCATATTGAAATGAACTTATAAAAATAGCAGTTAAATTATTCAACGGTTAATTGAGACTTGGTAAGAAAAAGGAACTGAAAGTGACCAGAATCCAGCTGCTTGACGTGAAGGTTACTGCGAGTGCGACAGTGCGAATCATTTTGGCCACTTATCCTGAAAATTGAAAATTAACACATTCATAACAACAGTTGGAGCACATAACATGATTTGTTAATTATGATACAAATGTGACGCTACTATTAGAAGTTATGAGAACGTGTTGAATAATTCTGGTAGAAAATACAATTGTCTTTTATAATTACAACTGATTAAATCTATAAGAAAGTTCCAATTATTACCTGGAATTATAACTGACTAAAATTATTACGAGATAAATATTTCAAATGATGTAAATATATATTTTCATTGATATAAAATGTTCTCCCGGCTAGGGTGTATTCGAGTCGAGTCGAGTCGAGCCGAGTAGTGGTATACTCAAACCCGAATTCGAATACTTTTAGTTCAACTCGAACTCGACGAGTACTAAATTTAAAACTCGATCTCAATTCGTTGACAAATTTAATGAGCACGAGTTCGACTTGATAATTTTTTTAAAAATTAATTTTCTACAAAAAAATTTTTAAAAATTAATCTCCCCGTTGAACTAAGAATGGAATTCTGCTATGAAGATTGTTGCGAGAAAGAAAACCAAATTCTAACATTTATTTTTCATCTAGCAGGGAAGTTTAAATTTTCACCAAACATTAACTTGACCAAATGGTTAAGAAGTAAAAGGGAATAATGAAAAAAGGATGGAAGATGATAAGTGAAGAGAGAAGAGAACAAATACAGTATTAGATTTGTTAACTGGAGTTGAAAATGAAAATGGACTGTCGATTGAAGATGAAAGCGAGGATGGGGAGAAAACATACGAGGATGGGAAAGAGGGATGATGGAGGAGGAAGGTGGGCCGAATTTTTTAGTTGAAGAAGGGGGATGTGGATGAAAAATTAGATCCAAGTGGAAGAAGTAAAAAAGTTAACGATGAGAAGGAGGAGAGAGAAGAAGAAGATGGGTGGCTGGGCTATTTTGATTGGCAAAATAGATTAGAGGTGCTTGGAAAAAGTGTAAAGTGTATTGGAGAATTTTCTAAAATAATAGTATTATGTATGCATATTGAAAATAAAAATATAAAATAATTATTAAATATTCGAGCCAAGTTACTTGTCGAGTTTTCGAGCTCATTATGGGTTTGTTTGGCCAACATTTTGTTTTAATTTTTGTTTTGATTTTTGATTTGAGTTTGAGATGTGATTTAAAATGTGGTTTGAGATAAAATTGAAAAAGTTGTTTGGGTGATATTTTAAATAAACTAATAATATTTTAGGCCCGAATTTGACCGAAATCCGGTCGGCCGGTCGGTCGATCTCCGGCCGACGACAGTTCGGCGACGGCGGTGGGAAGTCTGGCGACAGCAGCGGTGGTGCAGGTAGTCCGGTGGTGGTGGATGAAAATTGTGTAAAAATAATTTTTTGAATATTTTTTAAAAAATAAATTAAAAAATTGTTTAGATAGTATTGAAATTTGCGTTTAAGAGGTGTTATAAGAGGTAAAATGAAAGAAGCCCTTAAGTATCGAGTAAAATAAGTATTGAGCAAACAAGCCCTTAATACTCGAACTCGACTTGATTAACCAACGATACTACTCAAACACGGTTCGAATTTGGTCAAACTCGAGTCGAGCTTAAGTTGTTGACCGAGCTACTCACGAGTACTCGAACTCGGCTCGGTTCGTTTAAGAGTCTCCCCTAGAGAGAACCGAGAGGGGGGGAACAAAATGGAAATAGAATCCAAGAAGATTCGAAGGTACATTCATTTTTCCCATGTGTGCTTCATGGTCTAATAAAATTCAGTCGTAATGCCGTCCCAATTCCTCAATTCTTTGTATTGTTTAATTTAAAGAAAATATTCCTTATCTTCACTTACAAATTTGCATAAAAATTTCACCGTACGAGAATAAGTTCAACTCGTTCCATCGGATGAGATTTTCTTTAGCCTGAACTTTATTGGAGTAGTATAATTTCCTAATCTTGCCTTGATATACATGAGTTATATACTTGAGTAAACAGGCAAAAGATCTCATACACTATTATTCTACATTACTTTCTATATCATTCACTAACATATGTAAAAAATCACATACACTATTATTCTACACTATTTTTTATATCATCCACTAATATTTAACAAAATGGTCTTAATGGGTTCATCCAATCACGGATTAAGGTGTTAGTAAAATTTTTAAAAAATAAAATAATAATCATAGAAAAATGTTATAAATTTTACGCGATGGTTTAGAAAATACCGTAGAGAGTTGTGGCGGAGGAAATCCTAATCCTTAACCAAACAATTATAGAGAAGATACGATTATCTAAGCGTGTTCGTGACTTTATTATGTTAGCTGATTACATTGTTCTTTCCCTTTTTGACTAATTGAACTTAATGACCTAATTTATTACTATCTTCCTTTATTCCTTTCGTTGCCTTTTCTGAGAAGCAGAGGGGTAAACTAATAACCACATCTTTATTTTAAAGTTTTTGCTAAACGAAAAGAACCAACTTTACTCAATTTTGAATTACTTGTGGACGTAATTTCGTCCACTAATTCGCAAAAACTTCATAACAACTTAAATCATAGAGAAAATCTTCTTTAAAAAAATTGCAACAAACCTTGCCGAGTTCCGCCATCACCAATAATGTTATTATTAACGTTAAACTCTGCCAAGAACTGCACTCCAAAAAGTTAAACGCCACGCCATTGCCACCTTTTCTTTTTCTTCTACTACCATACATTTGCCAAAAATTCCAACTTAACCTACCAAACCACCCAACCAATAAACTAAAAGTTGAATATAGAGATAAACTTCAATAAAAGTAACAATTTTTTCCCAAAAATAAATAAATAAATAAAATAACTTTTTTCTTCATCACTATATACAACGTGTGTAACTAAAAAGCTGTCCCAAAAAATAAAATAAATAAAAAAAAACTAAAAATTGGAAATAATACTAGGAATGTTATCATCGTAATCTTCATCAAACAAATTATGAGCAATGGCCGGGGAAAAGTACGATGTAGAAGCAGCAGCAGCAGCGGAGAGCCGTTGATTGAACTCCTCTTCCAAGTGACGTGGCACAAAGGGAGTCCTACAAAGTGGACAAGTCCTCTGATCGTGGTCCATCCAACGGTCCAGACAGCTCCGATGGAAAATGTGCTTACAGTTGTTCAGCCACCGGATTTCCTCCTCCCCTTCGAACTCGTACAAGCACACCGGGCAACTCTCCTCCGGCGGCCCCCCGCCAGAACAATCCACCAGCTCCGAGAACTTGATGACCGGGAGAAGCTCCCGTATCAAGACGGCGGATAACGGTGGGTTAACGGGTTGCAAGCGGGTCGGATCACTCTCCGACTGGAAGTACCCGTCAGCTGGTTCGATGAAATCAGATAGACCCAGAAGGCTAAAAACGGAGAGAATCACATTCCGTACAAAACCCAGAAAGGAAAGCGCGTAGATGAAGATCTTTGGTAAGAAAACCTCTGAATAACACACTGGAAAACCCATCAACTGCCCCCACCCGAATGTTCAGCAACGACCCGGATTAATCTAGCTTCTGTGTTTCGTTACCGAGATTTCTATTTATATATAGGGAGAGGGAAGAAGTCAAGAAGATGAAGCTTCGTAGTCACAGACTCATAGTTGGAACTTTGGAACTGGAAGAAGTGTGAAAATGGAGGAAATTTGGTGTGTTAAAAAAAAATGAAAGAATTAATTTAGGATATATCTAAAAGGGGTAAAATAATAGAGTAAGAACTACGTTGTATGGGGTGGGTGAGATTGTAAAGTGACGGAGCGGTGAGATTTGGGCTTTCTTGAACCGTTGATAGGTTGATATGATTGTGATAATTTGGGATGACGGAAGGGATATTTGTGACAGATGCTGTTAGATTAGCAAAGAAGGAGGCTGCTGACTTTTTTAGTAATTTTGGTAAAGAGGGACAGAGGCCGGGGCTGCTTATGATTGCTTTGTGGCAATTGGACAAATCCATATAAAAAAAGCCCAAGTTGCTCTATAATGGCATGCCGCATGCGTCTCACGTGCCATAATTGGTCCTTAGTGCAGGCCTCTTTTAATTTTAATTTTTTTCATGGATAAGCTCCTAAATAAGGTATTGACTTCACTAAATTAGATTTTTACATTTTTCTTAAAGTTTACGTAGGTACTCCTTCCGTCCCAAAATTATTGTCCAATTTGAGATTTCACTTTTAGTACAATTTGAACTAAAAATGAAAACTCAAACTGGACAATAATTATGGGACAGAGGGAATATTTTTTTATTTTGCTAGAAAATCATTTTATTACTTTCCGTATCAGTAATGATCATATTCTATATCTTTTACAAAAGTCGATATGTGATATCGTAACCTGAATGTTCGTGGAGGATAAATGTATTTTCTAGTACTGACTAAGCTGTTGCAATATTCTTGTTATCATTTTTTCCCCTTTTGGCAATGATATTTATCTAAAAAAGATTATACCAAATTACACAAGAAAAAAAAAACCTCACACACACACACAACCCCATCAATGAAAATATTTGACAGCGATAAAAGTATCGCGATAACAACTGTTAGGTACATATCTGGTAGATTTCCTCATTACCGAACAAAAATGTAATGTGCATATCATTTGAATCTAAGCAAAAACTAGTGCTTAACAATTAACATATCTAACATACCGTCTTGGGTAAACTAGGTTTCTTTTGTTTTTTTGTTTTTGTTTTGTTTTGTTTTGTTTTGTTTTTTTTTTGTTTTTCTGTTTTTAAGAATCCTTCGTTAGCTATACTAGGGATCTCTCGTAACACATAGACTGTTATTTCTCATGTACCATTTATTAAATTTCTAGATGTGCACTAAGTTTGTCTTCTAAAATTTATTTATTGACTGATTAGGATATTATATAACAAACATACAAATGAAGTTGCTTTGGAAGCTTCTTAAAACATACTAATACGTAGAATACCCTCTCATAATTAAAAAAAAAAAAAGAAAAACTAAATGCAATAGTAATTGGAACATTTGGTCATTCAAATGAATATTAATTGATCACTAATGGATTGACTCTCTTAAAGCCCAAAATATAGACTCATATGTGGTCTCACTTTAAAACCAATTGGTGATAAGGGGGGTAGCACATGTGGTTATATATTGGTTTCAAGAGTCTCCATCTATTCATGTGGGAGAAGGTTATATTCTCAACACTTCCTCTCAAGCTCGAAGGGGTTGGACAAACCGGATAAGTTAACGAATCAATAAAGGCCCACATATAACAAGGTAAGTAGAACAAGTAGAATAGAAGGCCCAGATTTAGTAAATAGAAGTAGAAGGCCCAAACGGGTAAACAAATCAGACCCCAGATATAACTGTTGGGTCAGTCAAATCCCGTCCCAAAAGTCACATAGGTCCGCAGATAAAATCCGCTCTAATACCATTTTGAAGGCCCAAATATAAGCTCACATGTGGTAACCAACAACACTAACGGCGACAGAAGAAACAGTAACGGTGACAAAAAGAACAACAATGGACGGCAGAAGAAAGGCCAAAGAACTAGTAGTGAAGAACGACAAAGAAGATGGAAGGAAAAGGATAGTGGTTGCTGAGAGAAAAAGAAAAGAATGCGCAACCGAAAAAAATCCTAACTCTGTACCAACTTAGAATAATAGATATGTATTACATTCATATGTATTATGTACAATATACAGAGTATATATAGATAATTCTATACGTAAAGCTATAATCGTAAATACATATATTACAAGAGACTCAATGAACTATACACTCCAACATGACTTGAGTGATGAAAATACGATTTACGACCTTAAAACTTATGATGGAAAAGTATCTCAAGATGAAAAAGAAAATGCTAAGAATAATCATGATTCTATAGGTAAATCCTTTTCGAATTTTAAAGAGGGAAAAAGTTAGGTACCTAAAGGGCAAGGATGCAGTTTGTGGCTGGGACGGTCATGAAACGAAATGTATATATGGAGGGACAAATAGGGAATGCGATGGGACTATGGCAAAGGACAATTTGATTAATTACTGAATTGATTTGGAGACAAAGAACCCCGAAGAAATTAGGATTAGTGGTAAGCAAAGAACAAAAGGCTGCCAACCAACCAATCATCATTCTAATTTGTTGTGTTATTTTTAAAATATAACGAGATACGACAAAGGTTAATAATCAAAGTGTGTGACACATTGTTTTTGAATTGTTATATGAAGAGATGATCCCTAGAAATTTCTCATATCTTTCAAGAATAAAAAATTTCTCGACACACTGCTAAGCATCATTTGAGTGATGTAGTAAAAAATGTTAGTATTTGATTTACTTATCCAGAGAGAATGTAACTAAAAAAACACCGACAATTCTTATTAACAAAAGTGTCGTGATTTATATTTTAGACTTATTTTCTTTATTGTAAACAAAATAATAAAGATTATTAAAAAATGATGAGTATGATACATGAATGGATAAAAGTAATACTACTCTAAAATAGTACAAAGACTAATAAAAAAGAGTTGAGCGAAATTCGAATCTGTGGTGTGTATGTTCAGAAGTTAAATCCATTTTCTGTTTTTCTCTTCAGAAGAAAATGGGAAATGGGAAGAAGAAAAAGGAAATCCAATTCGGAATCGGAATTGGAAATTGGAAAGTGTTAGCTGCCCCAAAAACCTACTTGTTGCTACTCTATATATTCTACACCGGAAAACCACCACCGCCGTAGCAACAACTTCCTCATTCCAGGACTCTGGAAAACAGAGATTAACCAGAAACCAAAAACAATATTAATCAGCCAGTACGCCGGAAAAAGGGTAACGCCGGCCATTTTTGGGATTTCCTCTCATTTTCAAACCCGGCAATCATGATGGGTAAAAGGGTTAGGCTGGAGAACTCTTCATCTGCATCGAATTGTACTCATCCGGGTTTGATTGGAGGCTTGTGCATAAAATGTGGTGAAACGATGGATAATGATGATGGGTTTGGCGGTGTTGCACTTGAATACATTCATAAAAGATTACGCCTTTCCCTTGAGGAAATCATTCGATTACGCGACAAAGACTTCAGGAATCAACTCCGTCAGAGAAAGCTTTACTTGGTTCTTGATTTGGATAATACCCTGCTCCATTCGATGGACGTTAACAAGATTCAGGAGAACCAAGAACAATTCTTCTTGAACAGGGGAATCTATAAAGTAGAGCGTGTCCGGAAGATGACCAAGTTGAGACCTTTTGTTCATACTTTTCTGGAAGAAGCAAGCAAACTGTTTGACATGTATGTTTACACAATGGGTTGTCGAAATTATGCAGTTGAGATGGCAAAGTTGCTGGATCCCGAAGGGGTTTATTTCAATTCGAAGATCATTGCACATGAGAACAGCACGGATAAGAGTAAGAAGGGCCTTGATGTTGTTTTGGGGAAAGAAAATGCGGTGTTGATTCTTGATGACAGGGAGAGCGTTTGGGAAGGCCACCGTGATAACCTGATATTGGTGGAAAAATACGAGTTTTTCGGTTCAGGTGTTACCGCAGGAGGCACTGATGATGAAAATGATGGAGTTCTTGATTTAGTTCTCAAAGTTCTTCAGAGAATCCATGCTAGTTTTTATGATACCGAAGATTTGGATACCCTGTTGAACAGAGATGTGAGGCGGGTTTTGCAAGATTTCCGAAAAGAGGCTTTGAAAGGTTGCAAGATTGTGTTCAGTGGGGTGTTGAAGCCTGAGAAACAACATTACTGGAAATTGGCGGAGAAATTGGGGGCGAAATGTGCTACAAAACGTGGCCCCGGAATAACCCATGTGGTTTCGTTGGATTCCGCATCAGATCTTTCCTGTTGGGCAATCAGGGAGAAGAGGTTTTTGGTGAATCCGGAGTGGATTGATGCTGCTCGCTACTTGTGGCAAAGGCAACCTGAAGAAAAATTCCCTGTTACTAATGAGCTGAAGATTGCCCCGGTAACAAGTTGTTCGGTTGAGGTTTGCTGAGGGATCAGACTATGTTGTTGGTTAATGGTGTCGTTGATGATGTTAAAACGCATGAACTTTTTTCTGTTCTAGGCTCCAGAAAATTGATTATGGGGTGTTATTTTGTGATTTGATCTTCGTGTGCTAAAAGAAGACCACACAATGTTGGTTTTCACTTTTCACTTCAGTTCCTGCAACATTGCTCTGTACAGGATCGATCACCATTCTGCCATTGCTCAAAGAGTAAAAAGTTAATTCATTTTTTCCCATTTTATTAGTCAATTTTGCTTTTCATAGAGTATAATATTGTGTGTGTATACTGACAACTTTTTCTACTTAAAAGGGGTAAATAAGTCACAATATTATAAGATACGGACACAGAAACCTTAAAAAAAAAGTCTTTCTTGCACAATTACAAACAAGAACCTCCTCCCAAACTACCAGTCTACCACCATCCTCCGCCGCCGACCACCGCTTCTACAAATACTAATAAAACAACTCCGCAATCCTCTATACTTTTTAATTCTTCTGGACTGAAAAGCACCCTCTAACGGTCTCACCTCACTTCACTTCCACCGTTCTTCCCTTTGTTTTTTTTTTTTTTTTTGGGGCAATAGTTAAACCCCTATAGAAACCCCACCATGCTACCCGGATGCTCAGCAGATGAAGCTGAAAGTGTAGCTGATAAATTTGAGGAATCTAAAACAGTGGTGGATGAGTTAGGCTTGTACAAGGGAAAGGTTAAAATTGTAAGCAACGATGACCCTGCAGAAGAAATCATGCTTTTGTGGGGAATTCAACAGCCCATTTACTCTAAGCCCAATGCTTTTGTTCGTCAATCCTCTCTCCAACTTCACTTGGATGCCTGTGGACGCTCTCTCTCCATTCTCCAGTCCCCTTCTTCTTTGGTTAGTTTCTCAATAATATCTAATTACTGTTATTCGTTTGTAGAATTGTGAATTCTTTGTTTTGTGGATTTTTGTTGTAATTTGATGTATTTTAATGTTTCTTATTGGTAATGCAATGCATTTGATTTGAGAATTTTAAAAAATGTTAACTTTAGTCTTCATTCATTCAGTATCTCCTTTTCACCATTTGAGTAATTGACATTATATCAGTTGATCTATTTTAAATTTAGGGTGTACCTGGGGTAACTGGGTCAGTGATGTGGGACAGTGGCGTTGTTCTTGGGAAGTTCATAGAGCATGCTACTGAGACTGGAACTCTTCATTTTCAGGGCAAGAAAGTGGTTGAATTGGGTGCTGGCTGTGGACTCGTGGGGTAATTCGTAACTCTTCATAATTCTTCTCTCTATCTTTGCCCCTGTTATTGTCTGGACTAACGTTGGTGAATACCATTGCGTTCTTGGTTACCCATTACATATGTCCAAGACTGCTCTTCTGTTGTAATTTTTAATGTTATCTGTCATAGAGTACATGTTAGCATTATGCGTAGGCTTCTGTACCTTAATTTTCTTTTTAGTGGAGTTTGTGGATGTTTTGATTGTTGAAGTTCTCTTTCTCACGTCTTCTTCAGCTGTATTGCAGCTCTTTTGGGTGCACATGTTGTTCTTACTGACTTGCCGGATAGACTCAGGCTATTAAAGAAAAATGTTGAAGACAATCTATACGGAAATGTGCGTGGGTCTGCAGTAGTAACCGAGCTCACGTGGGGCAATAATCTGGACCCAGATTTGTGCTGTCCTTCACCTGATTATGGTACTAGTCACTAAACTATCTGTTCCTTGCTTTAAGTTTCCATTAGATGGTCACTAAATTGCACATAGATAGTCATTTACCTGACATGGATATCCCGGAGTTCCACTTAGGTACTTAACATATTCAACTTGTAACTGTTGAAAGTTTGTGCTGTATAACATTAAAATAGCTCCAAGCACTGCACCAAGGCTTTCCCTTGAAAACTTCATTTGGAATTTTTTCTTTACTGTGTGATGCCCATGCTCTTACATCTACAAATTTTAAATTCAATCTTTCTTCTAATTGGGGATATCCCAGTAAACTATACAAACTATACTTTATCCTTGATTAGCTACGTCTTGCTTTGCATCTGTTATTAATAGTTGTAAATTATCTTAACTTATCATCGAGATTTAGGAAGTTTGGCGAATAAGAGAAAATCTTATGGCTATATAGCTTGAATAGTATTATAATCCCCAAAACTAAAGCTTTTCTCGATTCTTAAAATGGAAATGCATGGCCATCTCATTTAATCGTTTGGGTTTGCAATTTGAAGAAGAGACTTCGGTGTGGGTTCAAGTCACAGAGACAAGCCTCTTATGAGAGAGCTTTTATGAGGCCTGCTTGTTCTTGTATCTTTATTTGCATATAATCAAGCTTCTGCGAAGTCGATTTGTTGTCTAGGAAATCCATGTCTTGAAACTAACTACAACTTGGTTTGATATGTGGCATGGATGCGATAATACATATTCAGTTATGGTAATGTTTAATATTCAAGTCCTGATACACTTAGTGATGTATGAATATTGTCTGCCTTAGCATTCAAGCTCAAATTTTTGTGGGTTACTCAGTGTAAATGATACTGATAGCCATTGATCATGTCACATTAGTCACTCTGAGAAATCACTCTGAATTTTTCACTGAATGCGTTATCTTTTGTATTCTTACAGTTTTAAACATTGTCCCGCTCTTAATGTCTTTTCTTTTTGAATTGTCAATTTTTGTGGCGACGTTTGTCAGTGCTTGGCTCCGACGTGATCTATGGTGAGGACGCCGTAGTTGATTTGTTGGAGACACTTTCTGACCTTTGTGGAGCACAGACGACTGTCATCCTGGCTGGGGAACTCCGGAATGGTATGCTAATCCTATCCGCGCAGCAAAACCAAATTATTTCAAGTTTGCAGTAAATTCTTATTAATGCCTTTTTTTCCTCTTTTGTTGTTAGATGCTATCCTTGAATACTTCTTGGAGGCAGCTATAAAGGATTTTGTTGTTGGTAGTATAGATCAACAGCAATGGCATCCAGATTATCGCAGCCAGCGAGTTGTGATTTACATTCTGGTGAAGAAATAGAGGGAAAATATTGCCAGTTTACCACTCACTTGAACATGGCAATTGTCTATTCCATCGGGGAAGAATGAACAGTTGAGGAATATTCCATAACTTTGTTGAAATAGGCATGTGAATGTTTTGGTTGAAGTTGGTGCACATTGTTGAAGTGATTGTCTTGGTTGAATGTTAAATCACACTGATGGGTCGGCCATCTGATTAAGAAGAGAACAGATTTTCCTTGTACCCTAAAAAATCTCAGTAGTTATAAATTGGTTTTGCAATTCGCTGATTTCCCTTAGATTGAACTGTTGAATGTGGCGAGATATGCTTCTTGATCCCTTTCTGGGGGCTAACGTTCTTGGAGGAATGAAAATTTTGCCCGGTGATGAAGGTTTGCAATCTTTCGGTTTTGGAGTCGAATAAAGTTTTAGTAAATAGATTTACAGATGAGAAGGTTTGCAATCTTTCGGTTTTGGAGTCGAATAAAGTTTTAGTAAATAGATTTACAAATGAGCTTTATTGTAGTTTTCATGGCGTGTTGCAGTCATGCAAGTCACTGCTCATGGATTGCAATAATATTCCAAAGTTCAGAGTCTCATGATATTTGAGCATGGAAGACAAATCACAAAATACAAAAGAATTAAATCGCATGCTCTTAGTTTCCAAAACAAAGCTTTTCTAGCTAATCGGGACAATAACAGTCTTAGTCGCTTTTACCAATGATGGTAATCCAAAATGTCGAACTCAGTACAATTTTGGCAATGGCTACTTGACAAGTGCATCATTTTTCAAGTCTTTGTAATGGATTCCCAATGAAATGAACCTAATGACTGAGCATGACATCACAACTCATTTCAAAAACTATGATATAAACTAAAAAGTAAAATAAATTCAAGGGATAGGAAGGTCCCAATATCAGAACATCCATAAGCACAAGACTGCTGGTCTACTATATAAGAATTGCAAGTTCTTGGCAGAAGGGAACTACATATGTAGCCTCATAACCTCTGTTCCAACTTTTAAACGAACCGAAGGATTAGCCAACATGTGATTCCGAAGTATAAGAAACGAATTCGTCACAAATCCTGAAGGCCATGCCAAACCCTGCAATTCACATTTACAAATCACAAGATACAAACATAGGTTAAAAAGGACAAGTACTTTTTCGAGGGAAATATTTGTTGGGAAAACCTGCAGGCCCAAATATCTAAGGAGTAGCAGTTTCCGGAGCACAGTTCTTGGCCACCTCCAGCATATCTGCTGGAAGGTATGTTCCTCTAGCCTTAATTATGTGAATAGCGGCCCAAATTTCTCTCTTTTGTCATCATTTTCCCATCATCAATCTTGTCTTGCTGCCACTTCCACTGGAAAAATCTCCCATTTTCTCCACAACCAGATCAAAGGTAATACTAAAATTCCAAGTCAGAACCATCAGCAGTATTATTAGTTACAGAACTGAACCATCACTTTAATGCTGAGCCTTGATCTACAAGAAGTTGAACTCTCAGCAGTTTGGATTCATGCACTTGATTTCCTTGCAGATGGGTGTTCCAAGTACCTGGTTAGCAAGGATAAGAGTCTGCTTATATTCATCTCATGACAAAAAGAAAACAACTCACTCAAGAACAAGATATCAAGTTACCCAAGTACTTCAAAGATAACCAAGAAGAAATTGCAGCAATAAAACAGTTTTACTCCCTCTGTCCCATAATTATTGTCCAGCTTGAGTTTTCATTTCTAGTTCAAATTGTACTAAAAATGAAATCTCAAACTGGACAATAATTTTGGGACAGAGGGAGTAGCACATTTCAAATTTATTTTAAAAGCACTGCTCAAAATTTAATCCTAACCTGTAAAGACTGTAACAAAGCTATCATCATCATCAATCACAATGATGGGATTCCCTGTAGGTTACCAGTAATCGTTACAAGAACAACATCCATCCCTAAAATGGTGGAACCTGTTGTTATCCCTTACAATGATCTCCCGCGAGACTATTTTACAAATAAACTTGAATGCAGTATGGCAATCCACACAAATCCGAAGATTCTTTTTCACTCTAATAGGAGCTCCTTCAGGAGTAACAAGCAGCCCAAAGGCAACTGCAAGTTTCTCACTGTGATAGGCAAGAAGCAGCTCCTTTTCTTTTTGTCCAACATCATGGAGATCAGTCTCTATCACGGGAACATAACCAGCTTTAGCCATTAGACCGCTTAGCTCCTCAAGCTTGTAGTATATTTCTTTAGTTCTTGAGTGTTCGCGGTCTCCAACAGTAAATGTGTGAATCTCGCCTTTCACCTCGACCCAACTCATACCTGGCTCCTTCTTCACCTTGGTTTCTTTCATTAACCTTCTCATTTTTGCGACGTTTTCCCAAGATCCCACTGACGCATATACATTCGAAAGAAGTACATGTGTACCAGATTTTTCTGGATGATAAGTTAAAAGCATCTCAGCAGCATGTTGACCAAGCTCGACATTCTTATGGATTCTGGCAGCGCCCAGAAGTGCTCCCCAGACAGCAGCATTAGGTTCAAAAGGCATGCTACTTACTAAATCCTTTGCTTCATCCAACCTCCCAGCTCTACCAAGAACATCAATCATGCAAGAGTAGTGCTCTTGTGTTGGCTGAAAGCCAAATGAGTCTTTGATCATCTCAAAGTACCTTTTGGCTTCTGTTACAAGACCAGCATGATTACAGGCATAAAGGACACTAACCAAAGTCACATGATTAGGAGGCACACCCTCTCTAAGCATCTCATCAAATAGGGTGAGGGCTTTCTTTCCATGCCCATGTTGGGCAAGTCCTCCTATCATGGCAGACCAGGATACAACAACTTTCTGAGAAAGCCGGGAGAAAGCACGGTCAGCATCCTCCAAACTTCCACATTTGGCATACATGTTGACGAGAGAATTTCCAGCAAAGAGATCTGACATGAAACCATATTTCAAGACATGAACATGAATTTGTTTCCCCTGCTCATATGCTGATAGATTTGCACATGCATTTAGGAGAGAACTAAACAGATACGAGTCTGGGTTGACATCCACATCTTGCAACTTCACATAAAGTTTGAAGGCTTCTTCACCTTGCCCACATTGAGCAAAAGCTGTTATCAAAGAAGTAATCACAGGCAAGTCTACAGTTGGGCACTCTTCGAAAATTCGAGCAGCATCATAGGTCTGCCTACATTTTGCATATGCATCAATTAAGCTGTTTACGACAAATGCACTTGATTGAAACCCTGACTTCACAGATAGGGCGTGAGCTTGTTTACAAGCTTCAACAGATTGCATGCCAGCTGTACAGTTGAGAATTGCCAGTAAAGTCGTCTCGTCAAATATAATTCCTTTCTTATAATTCTCGATAAACAGCATTAAACCCTGTCTGTCAGAACCATTTTGTCTATATCCAGAGATCATTGCATTTATGGCCGCCAAATCTTCTTGAGGCATCAAATCATAAACTAACCTGGCATTATCTACTAAACCACACTTTGAGTACATATCAATAAGTGCAACACTAACAAATTCATCCAACATATTCATTTTTAAAAGCAGAGAATGCAGTCGTATGCCAAACTTTGGATGCCTCAGCCCAGTGCAAGCTTTGAGAGCACTTGAAAAGGTGTATACTGTTGGCCATTCCCCTAAGTTCATCATTTGTGAAAAGAGCTCCAGCGCCTGCTCGTGAGATTCATGGAGAACGAAGCCTGTAATCAGAGAATTCCAAGAAATAATATCTGGTTGGCAAATTTCCTGAAAAACAGAATTCGCGTCATCAAGTGAACCCACTTTTGTATACATGTCGACAAGTGCATTAGAAGAGAATGAATCAGAATCAAAACCCAGTTTAATCAAATATCCATGAATTTTCTTTCCTTGACTAATATCTCCCAAACCACTACAAGCATTGATGATGGTTGATAAAGTGAATTCGTCAGGCCTAATTCCACTAACAGCCATTTCTTGAAACAAACCAAGAGCTTCTTCAAAAAAATCATTCCGTATGTAAGATGAACACAATGCATTCCAAGAAATGACATTCCTTTCTGGGATTTCATCAAACAACCTCCTAGATTCCCTGAATTCACCACATTTCGTATACATAACCACCAGAGTGTTTGCAACAAAAACATCACGTTCAAACCCTGTGATCACCACAATACCGTGAACTACTTTTCCAAGTACAATATCCTTAGTTGTGGAGCACGCTTTAAGCACACTAGGGAAAGAAAATTCATTAAATCTGATCCCCAAGCCATGCATTTCTTGAAAAGCCAAAAGGGCTTCTTTTCCATACCCATTTTGGACAAATCCAGATAACAAAGAAGCCCATGACACCAAGTCTGGTTCGGGACTTTCATCAACCAGTTTCCGAGCATATGCAAAAAGACGACACTTGGAATATAAACTTATCAAATGGTTCCTATGATTGGAGTCTTGATTCAACCCAATCTTAGTTAAGAGTGCATGGATTTTGAGACCGGGCTCAAGAGACCTTTCTTTGGAGAGCTGCGACAATTGCTTGGTGTAGGAAATGCGGGGGATGCTGAAGCTAAAATTCGAAAAGGCGACTGCTGGTGATTGTGCATCAGAATGAAATCTGTGTACCAGTTTACATAATGACCAGACTTTAAGGCACCCAAACTTTGTGTACAGCCGTTTATGTAGTCTCTTTTGGATGGGAACTAGGGTGCAACGAATAGAGGAACACATGATCCATTAGGCTCCAGCTCCAAGATCAAGTTATTTCAGAATGACATTACCACAAATTCCGAATTACTAACTCCCAAATTTGTTACTGACCAATATTAGGAGTTGCTTCGTGAGTAAAATTTTCCTCTGCATAATAAACACGATCAATTAGCTACCTCTCAATGCTGGAAAGAGAAGATAAGGAAGAAAAAACTTGGAGATAACAAATGGAAAATCAGAGTGTGACAGGCATATATTTCGAAGGGTCTACCAAGGGAGAAATGTACGTGATGCATAATATCAACAAGACAGCAACGTATTGAAAGAAATGACATTTAGATTGATTCAGACTTTAAGGAGCACCCTTTTCCCTGGGAATCATGCCCACTTGAAGGAACCACAATAGCAATTGACAGAAATACAAAGTTCCTAAATTTCAGATTATTCAGCTCCGCATAAAGCGAACGCCCTAAGAGCTCAGAAATATATCCTCGTGGATTACATTAAGCCTTCCAGGAGAGTGCATGTGCTTGAAGTTTCATTATAGGATTACACTACGATTTAGGGGTTGATCTGATGTCGAAAAAACAACAAGATGATGTCCAAAGATGGGGGCAGAAAATCAAGAAAGATCAACTTAGGCATAAATCAATCTAGAGGTATCCAAAGAGTAAGAAAAAGGTTCAGGTCTTCACCCAATTTTCAGCCTAGTAGTACATTACGTGTTAAGCTTCAGTAACTCTGAATATTATCTTCTTCCTAAAGTTTGATTCTTTACCCTGTAATGTTTGGACTTTTACCTCAAAGCTGCTATATCATCAATTGTAAATAGCATTCAACTAATATTTGCCAAAGCAACTCCGGAAGAGGCCCTTAAACCCCCCCTATGGCTATGGTCTATGGGCACAAACAAACAGAAAAAGAAAAGAACTCTTAACACGCAACATTTGCAAAAGCAAAACAATGATTTTGTTTCTTTAAAGAACATTTCTCTAAAAAAGAAACTCTTTCAAACAAACCAACATGGGAATTGAGTGAGACATTTAATCAAACGCATGGCAAGCATGAATTACAACCGCGCGGGATGTTCACAGAAATAAGCTCCTTCACCCTCCAACATGCAAACTGGCGGTAACCACGGCCAGAGTTCAACAAAGAGATGCAATGCAGAGTCACGGAAAGCGTCAAAAACACAAAACAAAAATTCAAACACCATAAACATAGAAGAGTTGGGAAACACACCTTCACCACATTGAATTCACGGGATTAAATGATGAGTGTTACAGTGTGACTATGTGATTGCAAGGGTGAAATCGTTGTGTTTTGTTGAGAGTGGAGAGTTGAGAGTTTGAGGAAAGAAAAGAGGAGTTGATAGTTTGTCGTGGATTCCTGTCTTAGAGCCGAGACGGTGTGTGAATTTTGGCGTCAAAACTCAAAACCTCAATTTTCTTCCGCAAATTAGAAATAACGAAAATTATGAAAATGGTATTTATATTATCCAAAATAAAAAGGGTATTTTATTTGCCACTAGTAATAATTTTGTTTTCATTCTAATTGTGAGAATTAACTATGGTTTATAAAATTTCACATCTCAAGCGTTTCTGTCACGTGAGAGAGATTGACAAATATGTCGATGTGAGAATTCACTAATCAATTTCTATATGTTAACGTACGAAATATACGATTAAATTAAAGTAACAATTTATTCACTAACAGAAAAAAATGTCCGTTAAATAGTTAATCGAATTTTACCTCATCTGAATTTTAAAATTACGATTCAGACTCATAAATACGTCATTGTTATCTACAAAGTTTTATTATAGGGACAGTTTTGTATAATATACTGTATACTTCCTTTATTTTCAAATAATTGTCAAATTTAAATCTATACTTTTAGTACAATTGACAAGTATTTTGGGACATGAAGATTGAAGAGTCGTAATAAAGTTTATAATATAAATTACAGAATCATTTTATTTTATACACTAGTATTACATTGTGCTTGTTGTTATCGAGTTACCCACATTTTGAAACTTTATAATAATACATACATTTAGTTCAAGTTAGGCCTATCATTATCCACATTAATTACGGCCTTGAAACAAAAGTAACCGTTGTGCGAATAAGGCGAGGCAAGTAAAACAGCAAAATGGAGTACTCATTACTGTACTACATTCCCAGACATAAGCCTTGGTAATACTGATGAATGAATTTAATTAATTTACCCAAAAAAAAAAAGCCAACAAAATTGAAATTAAAATTAAATCTCAGATCCAAAAGACCTTCCCACCTGAAAAATTGTCTTCTCCCTCTCCGTCTCGACAACACACAATCACCCACCACGAAATCAAATGCTACTATGTGATCTGGATCTCCTTCCCTAAACCCTAAATTCTTCTTCGATCATCAACCCTAAATTAATTCATTTCTCTATTGAATTCACACTCAGAATATCTGCATTTTGAACGAATCTCTGACAGAGAGTGTGTGATAAATTTTGGGGGGGAAGGAAAGATGTATATGGCATACGGATGGCCTCAAGTGATCCCGTTGGAATCAGGAGGATTAATCCCCAGCTCTTCTACTTCCCAAGACAATATTGTTTACCTCAATGTACTCAATCGATTGTTGCTTGTTGTCTCTCGCTCTCACATCGAGCTCTGGTCTTCCTCTCAGGTTAATTCTTTTTGTTTCTGTGCATTTCTGAAAATTCAGTTTCAGTTATGGAGGTTTGGGGATTTTTATTTATTTTTTTTTGTTTTGGGTTTTGTTTTGAATTTCCAATTGCAGCATAGAGTGAGACTGGGAAAGTACAAGAGAAGTGAGGAATCAGTTCGGAAAGAAGGGGAGAATATTCGGGCCGTCTGGAGCCCGGATACTAAACTGATCGCTGTTATTGTAAGTGTGTAGGAATTCAGCCAATTGGCATTGTGAATACTACTTTAGTAATTGTTTGCTTTTATGCGGTTCTGTTGTGTTTATGCATTTCTTTTCCCGCAAATTTTCAGCGCAATGCAAGGTTTTATCCTAAATAAATGTGGGAGTGTGTGGAAAATTGGAGTTCTCCTATTTTATGTATTTTGTGGTGCAAAGACTGGGTATTGATAGTTGGAATTCTTCCTCACTTTAATACGCCAGTGTCTAGCTTATTGTAATCGTTTACGGTATAACCTACGTTTATGAAAAGAGCAATTTAGAGAAAGAATAACAATTTGGAAAGACTAGGAAAGGAATAAGTTCCAACTGTAAAGATTTCAGGAAGCAAAAATGTTTCTTCAACTGTAAAGATTATCATTTGTTTCTTTGGAAGAAATGAACTGTGACAGACGGGTGGGAGGGTTGGGTGGGGTGGTTAGGGGATTAGGATGGGGGATGGTTATTACTAGGAGGCCGAAGGTTCGATTCTCGCTGGGGCCATCCAATTTTTTTTTTTTAAGTGAACTGTGACACACAGTCTACAGTTTGTCTGAGTTACTTTTTATATGTACTGGTTTTAGACTCTGAAAGGTTCATGTATATCAGATATCATATTTGTTTTCCTGGATAACATTGATATTCTTACATTGACTTTCTTTTGTGCATTCTGTGGCAGACATCTTCCTTCTATCTTCAAATTTTCAAAGTCCACTTCACAGAAAAGAAAATACAAATCGGAGGAAAGCATCCGAGTGGTTTATTTCTTGCTACCATTTCGTTACTTTTGAATGAGGAGGTTCCTTTTACAGGCAACAACTTAACATTGTAAGTGGCTTTTTGTTTTTTCTTTTTTTTTTTCCCTAAAAAATTTGATGGCTAAAAGCTTTGAACTTGTTCTTCTTTATTGAATGATTATGCTGTTTCGGTATTCATGGACTTCAACTGAGTGACTCTTGACTCTTCTTTAAATTTCTGGGTCATTGGTTGTATTGAAGCTGTGGAAAGTAGGTCCTTAGTTATGGTGATGGTTTTTGGTTGGAGGAATGTGGGGGAAATTGGTTGACTAATTTTAATATCTACTAGTAGGGATTAAGAATGCTTGAGTTTTTGAATTAATATAGGGTAGTCTCTTTTCTCCTTTTTGAAGTGTGTATTTACTATTCGGTGTCATTTTTCTTCGCCCCTGATTTGAAACAACAACCGAATCCATAGTTTTGTCATACCTGTCTGTGAACCTTGGATATTTTATGCATGCATTGATCTTGTCAACCTTGTAAAAAAAACCCGATGTATTGCATTCTCATGGATTAAATTTTTTATATAATTTTTTTTAAATTTATATTTATCTTCTGTTCTGTTCTGTACCATTTGTTCAATTTCTTGGAACGAGACCTTGTTTATCCCCCTTCCTGCAAAAGGGGACATAATGGGGGGAAAAAGAAAAAGAAACTTGTGATGTTGATGAAGCACTTCTTTCTTTTGGTCGAATGGGAAGCAAAAATGGAAATATAGTTTGGCGGATTGTCGTTTGTCATGAGCTTTTTCTTGATAATTTTTTGTTTGCTACTGTCAGGAGCAACATTATTTGTGATACCAGACATATGCTCGTTGGCCTTTCTGATGGATCCTTGTATAATATATCGTGGAAGGGTGAGGTAATGTCAATGCATGTGTCTCCAGTAATCTTTAGGATTTACCCTGAGAAAGCATCATGGTGTTCTAAACTTTTAGATAGCAGAAATTTTGTTTTTCTTCATTGTCAGCTACCGTTTGTCCTTTTTCTTGTCTCTTTGGAACCGGTAATCAATATTTTCACACACTTGAATTCCATCCGGTTTTGACAGTCTATCTTCACCCTTTATGCAGTTTTGTGGTTCTGTTGATATCAACATTGGAATGGACAATGGCAATGCATCAAATGCACCGTCTCATTCTCTAGAAAATGGTCTTCCTTCTAACGGGACACAAGGTGTATCTATGCCCAATCATTATTTGCAGAAAAAGCCTGCTATAATTCACATGGAGTTTTCCTTGACACTGAGACTACTATTTCTAGTTCTTTCGGATGGTCGACTTTTATTATGTTCTGTGAGCAAGAGAGGGTTAAAGCAGGCTGAGTTCATTAAAGTTGAAAAGTATTTGGGTTCTGGTGATGCTGTATGTGCTTCAGTTGCTTCCGAGCAACAAATTCTTGCAGTGGGTACAAAAAGGGGTGTCGTTGAGCTGTACGACCTATCAGATGCTGCTTCCCTTATTCGCTCCGTGTCTTTGTATGACTGGGGGTAAGTCGATAATTACCCGTATAAATTGGAAAATATTTACCTAATGGCTCTAAGATCTCTTAGAGATCATGCGGACCGTTCTGCTTTGTTCGGCATTTTGTATCCTTTCTCTGATGTCAATTTTCTGGAAGATGAACTTACCTTACACTGTTTATTTGCTCTTCACTTTTACATAGTTACCTTCTTTCCATTGTTCCGGTCCCCCAACCTTATCATTTGGTAAATTAGTTTACTAGACTAAGAACTACTCATGAAAATTCAAGTATGAAGAAAGTGGTTCATATTTTTCTAAAAATATTGAGCTTGGACTTGATCAATATGTTCTAACTTTGAGCAATCTGTAGCTTATACAAGTCATGTAATACAACAGATGATGTTATTATGTCTTAGAAATTCTATAAAATTCCGAATCTGGGTACGTAGTACTGTGACTGACAACTATCCTTGCCAATCATTTATCTTCCAAGTTCTCCCTATTTCTGAATGGCTCAGAATTCATCTTTCTTCTACAAATCAATGTTGGCAGATATTCTGCGGATGACACTGGAGCTGTCAGTTGCATTGCCTGGACCCCTGATAATTCTGCTTTTGCTGTTGGGTGGAAATTAAGGGGCCTTACAGTTTGGTCTGTTTCTGGCTGTCGTTTGATGTCTACAATTCGTCAAATCGGTTTAACATCAGTGTCTTCTCCTGTTAAGCCAAAACAAGACCAGAAATATGAGCCTATGATCGGTGGCACTTCTCGTATGCACTGGGATGAATATGGGTATAGACTTTATGCAGTAGAAGGAAGATCATCAGAAAGAATTATTGCATTTCCATTTGGCAAATGTTGTCTTAACAGAGGAGTCTCTGGTACAACCCATGTTCGCCAAGTTATTTATGGTGAAGATCGGTTGCTTATTGTGCAGTCTGAAGATACCGATGAACTCAAAATCCTTCATCTGAATCTTCCAGTTATGTTTCTAACTAATTCTGCCTTTGTACTTTGTTTCTTTTAGTTGTAAAATGGTATTTCTGATGTGCATTCTGAATGCCAGGTTTCTTACATGGCACCAAATTGGCCTATTTTGCATGTTTCCGCTAGCAAGGATGGGATGTACTTGGCTATTGCCGGACTCCATGGATTAATTTTGTATGACATTCGACTTAAACGTTGGCGGGTGTTTGGAGATATTACCCAAGAGCAGAAGATCCAATGCCAAGGCTTGTTATGGCTCGGGAAAATTGTTGTTGTTTGCAACTACCTTGAAGCTTCAAACATGTGCGTGTGCGATATGTTTACTTATATTAATGGAAATAATATTCATGCACAGGGGTAAAAAGCTAAAATAGTATCTGGTGGCGGATTTTTATCCACTAACAATAGAGCTAATTATTGTGTCGTAAGAAACAGATATACAATGTCATTCTCAAATAGAAAACCTTCCATTCTATACATCTTTACCCTTTTGATTTCAAACTTCAAGTATTACCCTGTTAATTTTATCCTTGTGTTGGAAAACAAATTGTTACATTTGCTTGTTACCTCCAATTTGAATTAATCCTTATACATGCTTTCCTGACTGTCAGGTATGAATTGCTCTTTTATCCAAGATATCACCTGGATCAGAGCTCGTTACTTTGTCGGAAACCGTTGCTCGCAAAGCCTGTGGTTATGGATGTTTATCGAGATTATCTACTTGTTACATACCGCCCCTTTGATGTTCATGTATATCATGTGAATTTATCTGGTGATTTGACACCTTCTAGCACCCCAGATCTACAGGTAATGCATTGCTTCAACTTAACACTTGAACCTTCTATTTACGAATCTTGGGTGATTATATCTTCTAGATTTTTAGCCTGATTAACTCATGTAAGAATCATTGCTCTTTGTAAGGAGGTATCCTTTTAAAGAATTATTCTTCTTGCATTTTTAAGTGATAAAATGACAAACAGCTTTCTACAGTACGAGAACTCTCAATTATGACTGCAAAGACCCATCCAGCTGCTATGCGTTTTATCCCTGATCAGCATCCTGAAGAAAGTGTTTTGAGAAAGGATTTATCTTCATCAGATCATTTAGATAGAGAACCTGCTAGGTAGGTGATACAACATGCTGTTTGTAACTGGATTTTAGGGCTTTTGCTCGACAGTGATTGATTCTGTGCTTTTAGATGTTTAATTTTGAGGACCAATGGGGAGCTTTCCTTGCTGGATTTGGATGAAGGACGTGAGAGAGAACTCACTGACTCGGTAGAATTGTTTTGGGTCACTTGTGGTCAGTCTGAGGAGAAAACAAACTTAATTGAGGAAGTTTCTTGGTTAGATTATGGCCACAGAGGAATGCAGGTGACAGTTTTTTGTACATCATTTTGTGTTTTCAGCAAAAGGCTCTCTCTCTCTCTCTTTTTTTTTTTTTTTTCCCTTTTCTATTTCACCTACTTTACCTGTCTGATAGAAGGTCATCATTGCAGGTTTGGTACCCTTCTCCTGGCTTGGATCGTTTTAAGCAGGAAGATTTCTTGCAGGTAATTTTTTGCTTTTGGATGATATTAGTGGCTTTCATTGGGTTTCATCTAAAGCTCAAAATACTGTACTTTTACCTTCCATTTCTAGAACTTCGAATCGTATTACTTTTCCTGCACCAACTATTGGTTGAATCCTTCTTTGCCTTTTTCTGTCAAGCAATAAGATTACTCGTCATGGTATGATTTGAGTAGTAAACTGGAATTTGGATTTAGTTATAACTTAAGACATCACAGGATTTTGAAAAATTCAAACAAAAATTTTGACTTGGCATTCCTTAGCTTTGATCTCTTTGCTGCAACTTGTTAAAGCTTGCTTTTGTTTCAAACCTTAATGGATATCGTGATTTACCGTATTGGATGATGGTTGCTACTTGGTAGATTTTATTTATAGTTGAATAGTTTACCATATCATGATTTAGCATATCGTGATATGATTTATCCGAATTGTTTTGTATCTCTCAGTTGGACCCGGAGCTGGAATTTGACCGGGAAGTATATCCCCTTGGGCTGCTTCCCAATGCGGGGGTTGTAGTTGGTGTTTCTCAAAGAATGTCCTTTTCAGCAAGCACAGAGTTCCCATGCTTTGAGCCATCACCTCAGGCCCAAACTATATTGCATTGTCTACTTCGGCATCTTCTTCAGGTATGCCAATCTGAGATGGTCATAGGATTGCCTTCAGTTTTGAAATCCTTTCAGCTACTCAAAATGCATATGTTAAAATTACATGAAATATTGTCTAATTTTAGAAAACCTTTCTCAAGTTTTACCTTGGAAAGTAAATTGTTTTACCTTTTCAACAGAGGGACAAGAGTGAAGAAGCTTTACGTTTAGCACAATTGTCTGCAGAGAAACCACATTTTTCTCATTGCCTTGAGTGGCTTCTTTTTACTGTGTTTGATGCGGATATCTCGAGGTAAATTCAGAGGAAGCCACCATTTCTCATTCTTTATCTCTTTGATGTCGGAAGTTTTTATTGAATCGAAATCTTTCTTCTTGTCATTTGATTTCGTTTATTTCAAATGGTTCTCCATCTTCTTAAGTTCTGAAATACAAAAATTTTGTAAAGGTCCCAATCCTCAGATTCTGATTCCTTTTTGAAATTTTTGTCTGTCTAAATTTCTTTTGATGTCTATTGGCTGATAACTTTTTATTGTTTTCACAGCCAAAATAGCAGCAAAAACCAGACACGAGGTCCTAATCATGCTTCTAGCGCTTCTCTTTTGGAGAAAACTTGTGATCTCATCAGAAACTTTCCAGAGTATTTTGATGTTGTTGTAAGTGTTGCTAGAAAGACTGACGGTCGGCATTGGGCGGATTTATTTTCTGCTGCTGGGAGATCGACCGAGTATGTTGTTGGACTTCTTGTTCTTTTTCTCAATGAAACTAACTATATACTATGTCAAACATCATGAGAGGGGGACGTGATAATTTTGCTTGATCAAATAGAAAAAGAGGAAATGGTGTTATCGTGTTGAGCTGATTATCTTTGGGTTTTAGGTTGTTTGAGGAATGCTTTCAACGGAGATGGTATCGAACGGCTGCTTGCTATATTCTCGTGAGTAATTCTTTAATATGCTTCTGATTATCTCTGTAATATATGCAAAAATATTCTTCTCCTTTTGCTTGTGGAAACATAGTAGTTTGGGTCTCACATCTTGTAAAACATGTGGGTTTTGAGGGTTCAGGTAATTTAAAGGGCATAGATTTTGGTGGACCTTTTTCATCAATTTATTCCTTCAACAATTCTTTTTCCCTATGCCATCTTCTTCATTTGGTGAAGGCTTTTGAGAGAGAACCTCAACATGGAAGTACTTCTTTTTCTCATTTAATCTCATGAGCTCCAGCTAGCCAGCTTTATGTAAATTGTTTCACAATAATATGGAATGGAAGCAGGAAACCTACTCCAGTGCTATTTTGTGTGCTCAGAAGAGGGACCTACTTTCTTCTAGCAGTGGTAGAAAAGCTCAATTTCTAAGGTCTAATGAGAGTGTTATATGTACATAATTTGCCCCTTTTTTTTTAAAAAAAAAAACCAATGGCATCTAAGATATGCTAATTCCAGAAATTGAGGAACCATCTTTAGTTGCTTAGAGAATTATTAATATTATTATTATGATTATTACTATTACTATTTTAATTTGAATGAAACTGTCAAAAAGATTGTAAAGCTTTTAAGTGTGATACTCCATTTATGGTTTGTTTTTTTTTGTTTTTTGTTTTTTTTGTTTGTTTGTTTGTTTTTTTTTTATTTTTTTTATTCTTTTATTTTTATTTTTTAAATGTGATCTTGTCTCATTCTGTTGTATCAGGTTATTGCCAAACTTGAAGGTCCTGCAGTCAGCCAATACTGTGCATTGCGCCTATTGCAGGTTACTTTCTGAAAATCTACTATATTATATTTACTACTTTAGCCAATCATGAGCTTTCTCTATGTTATTATTATGTGATTCAGAATACGATTTTAGAATAAATGAAAGGATGCAAAAGTTAAGACCTCTTTTGCATCCTGCGGTTTGTGGATACAATATTTTCTTTGCGTTTTCATTCAGAAAATTTCTGGCATTGGGATGTCTTACATAGGGTTTCTCATTCTCTGCAGGCAACTCTTGATGAATCTCTTTATGAGCTCGCTGGGGAACTGGTATGAGTTCTAATTGAAGGTGTGAATTGACTTTACTACTTCTATTCACTATTGTGTAGTTAAACCCCTCCTTTTTGTAGGTGAGATTTCTCCTTAGATCAGGGAGGGAATATGAACCTGCCAGTACAGAGACATCCCCCAGATTCTTGGGTTATTTTCTTTTCCCATCTACTAATCGGAGGCAACAATTGGACTCTAAGAGGTAAAGTGCTGATTCCTGATGTTATTAAGCATCTGTTTATCCACATAGATATCTTCGCCAGCTCGTATTTATCTTTTACCAGTTCACTTTCTTGGAGAAATTCTTATCCCCTACCATCAATCCAGCAGTTCGTTTAAAGATCAGAGTGCTCATGTTGCTTCTGTTAAGAACATTTTGGAAAGCCATGCCAGCTACTTGATGTCTGGGAAAGAACTCTCAAAGCTTGTTGCATTTGTTAAAGGCACTCAATTTGACTTGGTGGTAAGAAATTTTCGGTATTCTGTATAAGCCTTTTATATAGTACCATCTTTGGATATCTTAGTATTGATTTAATGCAGGATTTCCTTCAACGAGAAAGATATGGAAGTGCTCGCTTAGAGAATTTTGCTTCAGGGCTTGAATTAATTGGTCAAAAGGTATTGATGAATTGATTATTAAGTTTTCATGGCCGAGGCCATATATTGGGGGTTTATCATCTTAAAGAAATGCCTGAAAGCAAGGTGTACGTGATTTTTCAGTATTTGATTGCATTCTTTAGTAGAACTGTAAGTTCGTGCATTTAGGCCACAGTATCTATGTGGCTCTGTATTGTAGAGCCTATTTCAAAGTTCAAAAACATGAGGTAAGAAAAATTTTATATGCTAACTCTTGATTATTTATTTATTTGTTTATTTATTTCTCTATTTTCAGCTTCAAATGGGAACTTTGCAGAGCCGGTTAGATGCAGAATTTCTCTTGTCACATATGTGCTCTGTTAAGTTCAAAGAGTGGGTGGTAGTCCTGGCCACTCTTTTGAGGCGATCCGAGGTTGATTTTTCTTTATTATACTTTGTGACAATTACTGTGGTTGTAGGGATAAATGCCAAGATTGATATAGATTCTGAAGTATCTACTTTTAACATTATCCCAGGTTCTGTTTGATCTGTTCCGTCATGATTTCCGGTTGTGGAAAGCATATAGCATAACCCTACAGGTACAGTGTTTTTTAACCATCTCAATTCTGATCTATTTCCAGCTGTTGAAACCTACATTCCCAATTATAATTTTTGTATGGACAATTCTTTAACGTCCTGTCCATTCACAACAAAATGTTGAGGTTTATACCAATCACGAGATTAAGAAATTGATCTATTAAAATTGATTTGTTAAAAATTGATCTATTCACAAAATGTTGCACGTGCCTGCAGTAAATCTATTAAAATGTGTTTAAATTGATCTGGTAATTATACATGTAAATTCATTGCCATATTCCATAGTCATCCCTTCTTTGTGGGTTATATCACCTTGAATTCTTTCGAAATTTTAAATACATTAGGTCTGGTCTTGAAAACTTGTGTGTTAGATTTTATGATTTCTCAAGTTCTTTTGCTCTAATAGCTTTGACAGTACCCTGATACTTTTTTATTTTCTTTTTTTCTTCTCAACTCCAGTCCCATCCTGTATTTTCTGAATACACTGATTTGGTTGAAGCCTTGGAAGAAAGGCTTTCGTATTCGAACAATTCATCAAGTACAACATCTGATGAGAGATGAGCCTTTTGGATTCCTCAAGCACAATGGGTAAATTGTATGATAATCAAGTGGTGGATGCCCGCACACTTCTGAGCGCAAGTATTGTTGGCCTAGTGAGAGGTCACGGAGCTAATGAAAAGCGTGAATAGTTCTCGTTAAGCTTTGTGACGAGCAGCACCAAGATTGCCGAGGTCCCATGGAAATTGTAAGTTCTACTTGTAAATAAGCAACAGCCTGGTGGTTAGTTTTATTTAGGCCATTCTCATTTTCTGTTTTTCACAGTTTGTATCATTCTTTCCTTACCCCTCCATCCCTCTTGGGGATTGAATTTTGATTTTTGAGAATAGATGACAAAGATAGTCGATTGTTGGTTGTAGGTAGATATGATGATCATCAAATAAAATCAATTATGTTGAAGAGCAGATTTGTAAAGATAGGGACCGAGTTCAGTTCAATTAAGCTTATTTATACAAGTTGCGGGAGTTCATTTTGATTGGCTTTCTGAAATTTAGAGTTTATACCTCTGTCGTTGATGCTTTATACTTCACACAATTGTTTTATACTAATGCATGTACAAAGTTTTCATGGCTTCGAATACATTGCTTGTAACTCATCCGTCTGTACTCGTTTGAAATTGCATATATTTCTGTTCTCCTAATCTAGTTGGTTTGAAGCATGATTAGAACATGCGTGCACCTGATGTCACTATGAAAATAGTGTGATGTTTTAAGCTTTATATCGCCATGTAGATTTGTCTAGATTGACGGAATTCACTCTTGAACCTGGGCTTTTTCTCTAGCAATGACACTATCCTTCGCGAGGAAAAATTGGCCGATTTACTCAAAGGTTGATATGCGTTGTCAATTTTACCTTATTCTTTTTTGGTTACTCAATATTACCCTAAACTATCTAACCGTTAGCCCATTTTGTCCAATTTGCCAATTTCTGTTTAAATTAACAGAATTCTATTAGTTTTAATTATAAAAAATACTCTAATAGTTTTAAAAATTATAAAAATGACCCCAAAAATTTATAAAAATAACCCAAAAAACAATCTTTTTTCACTTTTTATTTAATTTTTTCTGTTTTCTATTTCTTTTCACTATTTCTCATAACTATAAAAATATACTATATAATCTTTTAAGAAAAAAGCTATTTATTTTTAAAACACTACTGTGCTAATTTATAGATATGCATATTCGTAACTCATGGTTGATTTACATAAACATACTAATTTTTTAATAATATGGTTTAACAGTAATGATATTATTTTTCAATCTATTTTTTCAATCTAAAAAAAAAGTTATTTAACTAAACCTAATTTTACACAAAAAATAAAACATTTAGCATAGATTAAATTTTTTTATTAGTATACTTTAATGTATTATTACAATACAATTCAACAGAATTTAGATTGGATTATAAAATTAAAAAAAATAATTAAACTAAAATATATATTTTCTTTAAAAAGCCAACAACAAACAGAAAGTAAAAAAAAAATATTACAAAATATTTTATAAAAAATATGTATATTTATCATTGCGAGAGTTTAACATTTCGTAATAATTTTTTTGAGATATTAACATCTAACTTTAGCAGGAAATTTTTTTTTAATAATAATAAAAAAAATATGCTCCAGTACTGGACTCCACCTTTTTTTTTAAAAAAAAGATCGCCCCAGTGAGAATTGAGGCCTCGAACACAGTAATAATCATCTCCCATCTTAAATCACCTGACCATCCAACTCAACTCTCTCACCTTTAGTAAACCATGTATAAATATGGATAAAATCACTATCCCGGTTAAAAATCCTTAGTGAAAATTAATCTTATATCTACTATCATGAAGCTCAACACCCTAAACACTAGATTATACACTATATTTTAGTTTAGTAATTTTTTGAATTGGATAATACAATCTATAGTTTGTTTATTCAATTTGTAATAAATTAAAATGTACTAATATATTAATTTTTAATCTATGCTAAATGTTTTACTTGTTTGTAAAAAATTAATTTTTAGTCAAAAAATATTATTCTTTAAATTGAAAAAAGGATTAAAAAAACTAATATCATTATTTTCAAGTTATATTATTAAAAAACTAATATGTTTATGTAAATCAACCATGAGTTACAAATATACATATCTATAAATTTAAACAGTAGTGTTTAAAAATAAATAGTTTTTTAAAAAAGATCATATAATATATTTTTATAATTATGAGAAATAATAAAAATAAATAGAAAACAGAAAAAATTAAATAAAAAGTGTAAAAAGACTTTTTGGTTATTTTTACAAATTTTTAGGGTCGTTTTTATAATTTTCAAAACTACTAGGGTATTTTTTGTAATTAAAACTAACAGAATTCCGTTAATTTAAACGAAAATTGGCCAATTAGACAAAATCGGCTAACGGTTGGATAGTTTAGGGTAATATTGGCTAATCGAAAAAAATAGGGTAGAATTGACAACGCATATCAACTTTTAGGTAGATCATCCAATGTTTCCTCCTTCGCGAGGTTGCAGTTTTTATTCAATCAGGGTGTGAATTTATAGTGAAATTGAGTAGGCCCAAGTTGCAATCTGACATTGAATATGAAAACAACTCAATGAACATTACAAAAACTCCACTTCTATGTTCATAATCTCACTGTGTTATTCAGAATATCCCTTAGCCAGAATATGCTACAAAGTTCAAACCACGGTATACTAGTACACTAGTACTGATCTAGTAGTCACCATTATGCACAGGCTCACACACACAAACACACCAACAGATACACATACTTAAAAAGATAGCATAAGGATCTAAATCCACAGCAAATCAGGAGATTTAAGTAATCACCAGCTGAAGCTGATGGATTCAAAGTGAAGGTTGTCTGCTAAACCAGACGAGCAGATGGCCGCAACGTCATGCCTCATCTGCTTTGGACCGCACACTAGAGCTCCAACACTTGAACCTTTCGCCTCCAAAAGAATCCCTGCAAGATTACTCAGTGTCACACTCATAGATATCATCAAAATCGAGAACAAAGTACTCCGTCTATCCCATAATATTAGTCTCCATTTTAGAAACAAGAGTATTGTTATGGAATGGGAGTGGTGCATAACAAGCAAAGAGTGATGATATGCTTACTGTTGAGGTCAGGCCTTGATCCATAATGAACCTTCATGGTCTTCACCAAAGATTGATACGGCAAGCTTTCTAATTCTCTGTCAGCATTATCATTTTGAGCACTGAATGATTTTCCTTTTGTCCATTCGTCCAAGTCCTGAATCTGTTTTGTTTCTCTGGCATTTTGTTTCTTATTCCATAGGAATGCTGCAGTAGATGTAACCGCGATTGAAAAGAATATGAGGAATATAGTGAATACAGTCCTTCTCGTCATTAGGTCGATCCTCATCATGTTTAGATCCTTAGGGTAAATGTAATAGTTAGTGTAGATCCCGGAAATGAGCAAGAATATGATGAAAGATGATGAGATGATGGCAGCTAGCCATAGCCAACTGTATCGGCCTAAACTTGAAGCAATCGGAATATCAGAAGGCAGTGGCTTGAAGTGAATAGTTCTGATGGGCTCAGATTTCTCTGTTGGTTGTGTGTTTTCTCTGGTTATATAAGCCTCAATTTCTAGGTCTAAATTGTAAGATTTTGAGGGTGTACTTGAGAGCGGAAGAAGAAGGTCTAGCATTGAGAGGTGTGAGGTGTTCTTGAACGTGCTAACGAGTACTAGTTTTGGGGTTTTGCATTTTTGTTCTGAGCTCATGAAGATCAAATCTCTGATGATAGATATCATTGGGGTAATTCCACTTCCTCCACTGATCATCACTAGTGTGTCATGCCTGCAATCGAGTCTTAGCTGTTACTGCTGTTTTATACTTGGGATGATATTAGTGATATCCAAAAGATGTATTAGGAAGTTATTATTATAGACTGTTGGAACTCACCTGAGAAAATGAGTTGTTGGAGGTCCATAGGGTCCTTCAACGGCGACTTGAAGACGATGATCAATGGAGGATGGAGACGAAACCACATCATAAAGCTTCTTAGTCCAACTTCCTTCGCATTTGATGACCACGCTTAGCGTGTCTGGTTCCAAGCTACTGTTGGAAACTACCGTAAATGGATGCCATTGCAGCTTAGATACGATTGGAATATTCACAAACATAGTGCTTGTTGTGGTATACTCCAATGCTGCACCATCATATAAACATTTTCACGTACATAAGCAAACACAATTCGACTTGGAAATCTATAGCATTCTATAGAACAGGACGATGACAGAGTGTTTTACTTAAGTTTGTACCTCGACTTTTGGAGAAGTTGAGTTCAACAGCTTCGCAAGGTAGAACTCGAGCTGAAACTAGACGAACATTTTGCCGTGATTGCAAGAACCTCAGGAACCGATCAATGACGAAGAGGTACATGCCGGGAAGCATAATGCAGATGAAGAACAGGCCTTTGTGAAGGATGTAGAAAATGATGAAGAGGATATAGAGGTGATGTGTGTAATAGAAGAGCTCAAACATGGTTCTTCTGATACGAGGAAATGTGGTGCTCCACATTATTAATCCACACAGCAAACACAGCTCTCCGGCTATGTTGTTTACATATGTTTGATCCCATGTCTCATCCCATTTCAGCATCTGCACAAACATTCCAAACAAATTTATACTATGTATTCATATTAGACTACTATAAGCAAATGCAAAGTTTGGCCTTGCTCATATTAGAATGTGATTTTCCTACAACTTTGATTAATAATTAAGTAGGGTAATCGGGAAATTGATAACAGTCTAGTGGTTAGGGTGCTGTGTTTTCTGGTAATAGACAAGGGTTCAATTCCCACTCGGGGTTTGTAAGGGGTTTCACCCACATTTAAGTAGGGTCTACTGGGGTGGATTTAAAAAAAAAAAATTAAACATGGTAATTATTTTGTCGTGAACTTAAATCATGTAACATATTCTTTTGAACGTTGCAGTTTGCGCCATCTTACTTAAGGTATAATTGTTATCTGTAAATGAATATGAAATTTTACTAGTAACTTTGCATATTCATTTTATGAATTAGTCGATTTTATTGAATTCTTTTTTCTAGGATGTTTAAGAGTGAAGAACCACACAAAAAGAAAGAAGGGAAAAAAAAAGAAAAAAAGAAGCCTAATACATATAGTATGAATGATCCAATTCCTGTACATATGAAATGACCATGACCAAAGGGTTGCGATGGCATGACGCAATAAATGTATCTTTTTTCTGTGACACAAAGTGTATTATCATCAGCTCCAACTTTATTTGGTGAGAACTTATCCCATAATTTCCCATCAATCAGTATCTATATAATAGGACCTGTAATGGGCCACTAAGTCACTAACCCGATCTGGGCTATTTTGGTTTCTGACAATAGATTGATGTCTGGCCCATTTTCAGGGAAAATGGTCCCAGCTTCCAGAAACCTATGATGAAAGTGAAACAAACAAAAAACTAAACCCACAAAAAGGACTTTTCCCTTGAAGCACTTTGTTAGTTATGGTGACAAAACATCCGGCAAATATAAAATTCACAAATCACAATAATAATTACTCCCTCCGTCCCATAATTATTTTCCAGTTTTACTAAAATGAAAGATTTTATTTTTGGTCAAACTTAACTATATTTTACCTTAAACAACCGGATATACCCCTACATAAGTAATTATTTAACCACTAAGATTTTTTGGATAATATTTTTTACTAAGGACAAATGTGTAACTTGATCCATAAAAAGTCAAATTGGACAATAATTTTGGGACAAAATTTTTTGGGCAAAGTGGACAATAATTATGGAACGGAGGGAGTATTTTATAATCTTACATGGTTCATACGTGTAATATATGTCATGATCGCTTCATGCAGAAACAGGCACTTCTATATTTATTGGAATGGAATCTATTGGAAAGCTCCATCCTATATATTTATTTAATTCTTTAACGAAATCCTTATTTCTTTAACATGATGTAATGGGTTATGGCAGGATTTAAGATTTTAGTTTATAGGTGCAAGATAAATGTAAATTCGTCATGAGTATATATATCATTTGATTACGAACCTGAGTTTAAATTCGGATTTTATTTGTGTATGTTATTATGATGTAATCAGTCATTATAGCTTGATTATGTAACACGATTAATTGTTGATCAGTTAAAAGTTTTGTTATATCGAGTGATAACCTTGATCAGATCTGAGGGTATTATACTCTAAAAATCCCTCTAAAATCAGAAAATTATACAAGACTTATTCCGTCACTATCATCGTCGAACTGAAGTTAGACTTTAGTAGTAGTAAGTGATACAATAAGACCTCTTTGATTTACGAGCACAAATCACTTTGACCTTCACACACTTTCACACTTTGGACACTCGTAAGTCATTTGATTCACCTAACTCCATCCATTTAATCGACTTGGTTTGAATTTCTAGGTTTTTCCAAGTGCCGTTAGGTACCATAGAAAGTGGAATCCTATTTTTTATCAAAAGAGAAATGATTACTAAGTCTTTATTATGGATCAGAACAGTAATCCATGATTAGATGGAGCTTTTTATTTGTATACACTAAACAACTTGGAGGTCCACTTCTTTTCTTAAAGGCTAGTGAGATCAGATCTCCTGTTAGACTTAGTACTTACAATTGAAAATCACCAAGCTTCAGAAAGACGGGGTAAAAATTCTTTATCACGAAAAATTTTACTCAGTTCGATGTTTACTTAGTTATTAAGCACGTCATGACCTATATAGGAAGCTCTCTTCCAACTATATTGGAATGGCTACCTAATTTAATTATGCTCTAAGAGGTAATGATCACTTTTTTACCGTGCATGTTAAGATGAAGAAGCTTACTATATGTGTAGAAATAATTATAGCCAAATCCAAGTTAGTGAGATGAAAGGCTTGCGTTTCAAGTGAGAACCTAATGTAGCTAGCAAGAAAAGATGTCCTAGTTAGGTGGTCCTAGCTTGAACGTAATGGGTAAATTTTTCATCATCAAATCACTAACTTAAAAACTTGAACCATAATCTACAAATGTTTTACTGTATATAGTTTCTTCAAGACTCCAAACATTGTTGTTCAGATTAATTATGAGCATTAATTAACCTCCTAGTTGAAGAATATTTGCTATTATTTCTTCAGGGATATCTTTGTTGTTTACGTTAATTATCTCTGTATACGTAGTCTAGTGGTAAAGTTATGACAAGATCTAATAAAAACATGTACCATAATCCTAGTGGTAAACTCATAATAATTCAACTAATTAGGAAGAATATCGGGACAATGTCTTAGTGAACCAACATAGTAATATAAAAGAAAAGAAATTTTAACGTAATCTTTCTCATACCATTTGAACAAAGTCCTCCGCAGTATCTTGGATGCTAAGATTTAATGCACACAGTAAATCTTAGAATCTTGGTTACACTTAATTATGTTGTTTACACGTTTCTTGATTACCATGAGTAAAGAAAATCTTGAGTTAACTTGTTGTTTTAACTTGTTTAATTACCTCCGAATTTTGAGTAAGAGGATAACTTGAACCAATTATTGACACCACTCATCTAAAGCTGTAAAGCTTGCTTGCCTTTTTTGTAAGTTGTATGCGCTTATTCAATCCATCTCCATCATGACCAAGAAATATAAGTACTCTTCCTTGGAAAACAACTTTATGTTACGCAGAAAATAAAGCTGATCATCAGCTCTTGTTAATAGTTAAACTAATTAAATTCACAACTCAATTTCAAGAAACTGTGGCTCACTTCGAAAATAATTATTGTAATCTTTGGATCGTTCATTTTTATTTTCACAAAACTTCTACCGCACAAAGTTAATTAGTAGCAATTAATGCAGCGTGTTAAAGTCGAACCCACTAATTATTTAAAAGATGAAAAGAAGTAATTAAGAACAAAATTAAACCATGAATAGAGAAGAATAGGAAAGTAGAATTTTTTTTTTTCTCAAAATTTACCTCAGATAATCGATCTGTAAGACCCCAGTAGATAATGTAAAGAGTGCCATGAGCAGTAAAAAGGGCCATTGCGATGTTTCCGAGCCACATATGATACTTGATGCTGGCCTCTGAACTCAATCCCAAAAATGCCAAAATGGATGATCCTCTTGTCACCGGAACAAACAGAAATGTTAAGGCCACATTTCCAGCCAATCCTATCACCAAAGCCAATCTTTCCAATTTTGCTTGCCACCTGAAATAACCAATAATTTGTAAAATTTGTAATTGAATAACAAGATGAGGAATTTGTAAGTGACGTAACAGAATAGTTTATTGAATCTGTAGATTTTTAAATTATTGACTGAACTATTCAGTGACAAAAATTCTCCAATCTAAAAAAGTTAAGGGACCAATTGCTTACACTTTATCTCCTCTTGACATTGCAACCATGGAAATCTTCTCGTACCAGAAGTGCATGTAAGCAGAAAAGTACCAAAGGGTGAGAAGAATGAACATTCCAAAGAAGAAAAGCTCAATCCAAGTAACAACGCCAAGTGCTTTAATTATCATTGGCTTCTTCAAGAACTTGAATGAATCATTTGTCTTGCAGCAACTCACTTCATTGGCATCCATTCTCTTGCCCAAATAAGTGTAAAAACAACCCAAAACCGCAATGAACAATATTGGGAATGTGAAATCCAAGATTATAGGACCTGTGAACAAAGAGATTGAACCAATTGATCAAAAGCGAATATATATATTCAATATGTTATTTAAGGTTGGAAAATGAATCTTACCTTGTAAACCAAAGTAAGTAGAATTGGTGTCAGCCATGATGTGAGGAACCCATTTGTTGTAGTAAGTATCAGTTGGCATGATGCACCACATCATTATGTAACCCAGAAATACCATCACTGAGATTCCCACCATTGATGCCCTCGCAATCTTGATTAATCCAGCATTTTGATGACTTGCCCTTTCACTCATTTTCTCCTCCTTCTGCTCCATATTTTTCATTTTCTTGTGCTCCTGGGAGATTCTCTCACTCTGTGTGTGTGTCTGTGTGGATTTCGAGTTGTGGAAAGAGACGAAGATGTTTTCTTGGGGATATATTATTGATAGTGTCTCATGCACACTTCGAGTTTGTGGCTGAGTTAATATATTTATAAACTAAGAACAGGGCTTATGCTGAATGGGTTGTTGAGATTTGACATAAACATGATGTATGCGGTCATTGTATGAGTGGAACGAGGTTATCATATACTCCCCGTCCAGAGTTGATTATCTAATCCAGTTTGAATTTTATTTTTAATACAATATTATATTGTATTAAAAATAAAATTTAAATAAAATAATCATTTCGAAATAAAAAAATATTATTTTAGTAATGTTTCAACTTTTAATAGTTTACTTACTAATTAAATTAAAATAAATAGTGTCAATGTTTCTGAAGACGATGATGTTAATTACTGTGACACAAAATGAAAAGATTTATGCTTTACTAGAATTACATTTTTTTTGTTATTACGAAGTCAACATTTTATTTATTTTTGAAAACTTCCATCCAACTAATTTTTTTTTTTGAAAGGTACCTGATATTGGTATTACAATTTGAGACACCTAAATTATTACACATGATATACAATTACCATAGTACTACAACTACAACTCCTATGCAAGCGTTTCATCGTTTCCAAAAATATACAATCGACATAGAGTTCTGAAAACCAATGTCATTGTTACTAAACCTTCGATGGCTCTTCAAAGAATGGAGTTACGGAGCATGTATGCAGTTGGTCAAAACGCCGTTTATGACTCTCTTCATTCTGAAAACATATTACGCTCTCCGTTTTAAGATAATAGTCCGGTTCATTACATTATTTTAATAAAACAAATATGAAACTTCCATTTATTGTTATTATTATTTTTGAATAAGAGACTTCCATTTTTGTGAATGGATCCAAGTCTTGTACTCATATTGATCAATGAGGTTATCATATTTGTGTATTGCTTATAGTTTATTCAACTTTAGGGGGAATGAGTTGATCCCCATTTGACCTACATACATCACATGTGGTAGTTAGGTGATGGGTTGAATTATGACTTCATGGGTTTGATATTGGAGTAACAACAGCAATCAAATAGACTCACAACCAAATTTACACAATTTCCATTTTATTTATTTTGTATCAATATTCTTCACAATTAATTAGAGAATAGTCAAGTATGAACATAAAGATTTATGCAGCCAATATTATTGATCTTTAATCCTTTATTTCGACTCTAGAAATTTCTGATTCTTCTGCCAAAAATGACTAAATTACAAGTAAAGTTTTTCATACAATTCCAAGGAAATTGCAATTAGGTAAAAGACAATGACGAGTTTAGTTACTTCCCACTTTTTCCCCTCAAAGTGTGTATTGTCCTTGACTTGAGTTTTTTTCATCTCAATTAGGTCTATTACCTTTTCGTTTACAAAGTGTTTGATAAAAATTAGGACTTAATGATAAAACAACAATGTTTCATTCACCAAACAGTTACAAAATTCACATTGAGTTAACCTTTATATTCCTTAAATTTTGTACTAATTTTAAGCATCTCTTACTTGAGATGAAGTTCCTTGTAATCAAACACTCTCAAATGAAAGATCTTTTGATTATATAATTTTATTTTAGTTTAATAATTTTTTTTTTTAATTTTTTGGTTACAAGACTCAAATTTTACAATTAAACAGAAACCTTACGAAGATACGTTACCCGATGTCTTGCTGAAACAATATGATTTTTTCTTCCTTGCGTGTGTGTCCAATTAATCTTCCCTTTTCTTCTCTTTGTATTTTTTTAATTATTTTTTTAAAGTTTAACCAAGGGGTACCTTTCTGCGAACCTGAAAATATCTATGTAAAAAATAAAGCTTTCTTCTTTTTTTAAAAAAAATAAAATAAAAATTAAAGAATAGCTACAAATTGAGGCATATACAATTTGTTCACTGTTACCAGTCAAAGTAACAAATGGGGAGAGGAGTTGCTACCTTAAATTTTTTTTTTTTTTTAAAAAAAAAAGAAGAATAGGGAGTTTTTTTTTTTTTTTTTTTGCATATTTGCAGACTGTCCATCATCAGTAACAGTGACTAAACCCCCTCACTGAATTGAAGGCACCTCAATGAATGTAATAGCTAGTCAAAATATTTAAGGTTGCTCGATGTACATGAGAAATTTTATTCCTCAAAGTCTCAAACAAACAACATTTACATTTACATTTTCAAGGCCAAAAAATGGGCCAAGACGAAGTGGATCGAGCCTTCACCAGCTAAAACTGATGGATTCAAAGTGCAGATTGGCTCCCAAACCAGACGAACAAATATTTGCTACTTCATGCCTTAACTTCTTAGGCCCACAAACTAAAACTCCCACACTGGATTCTTTTCGCTCAAACAAAATTCCTGCATCGAAATTCCAAAACCAATTTATCACGACAGATTACAAACACAAGTTTACATATCGCAATAATTGTTTAACCAATACGAAAAGTGTTACAAATGACCTGATGTAGTTCGTATATCAATATTCCAAGTAGGAACACTTTTTTTGCAAAACTTCCATAGTTCATTTGTTATAACATTGTTTATAATAGTACTCACTCGTTCCAAAATTATTTTCCAGAGACAGAAGAGTATCATGTATGTGATTCGGATAAATAAGAGAAATTTGAATTGTTTAAAATACTTACTCTTAAGGTCAGGCCTTACGCCGTAATGCACATTTGTGGCCAAAACAAGTGACTGTTGTGGCAAGCTTTCCAGTTCTCTATCTGCATTATATGAATTTGGTGAAGCAACACCTCCAAAGTTCTGAATCTGCTTGCTTTCCATGGCATTTTGTTTCTTGTTCCAAAGGAAAACCACGGTCGCCACGATAACCATGGACATACACAGGACAAGCATATTCAATAAAGATCTAGAAGAGGTTGAGAAGATCTTATTTGTGTCATGATCAATGGGATAAATGTAGTATCTGGTAATGATCCCAACTAAGATGAGGAAGATTATGAAGGATGCCGATATAATCGCGGCGAGCCAAAGCCAGCCATTTTGACCTAGGATTGGTGCTATTGGTGAATCGGTTGTCTTTGGTTTGAACCAGATTGTTCTGACATTCTTATTGGCTTCTGGCGAATCGGGTTGTTTTTCTCTTGTCACATAGGCTTGAATTTGTAAGTCTAGATTGGATATTTGGGTTGGGGAATTGGCATTGGGGAGAATGAGATTTAGCATTGTCAAATCTGATGAATTCTTGAAAAATGAAAGGAGTAGAATTGAGGGAGTTTTGTGTTTCAGTGTCTCACTAGCATGCATTAGTTCTCGAATTATTGAGAAGAAAGGCGTGATTCCGCTGCCTCCACTCACCATGACCAGCAAATCATGCCTGCCCAAAACCAAAAAATAACAAATACAAATGTCAGCCTCTACTAATAAAAATATACTCAAAGGTTATTTTTCTGATTGTTGTATTGCTTTAGTATAACAAATATAACAATCATTTTAGGACGTCGAAAGATTACTAGAATTGATATTCATCGGACACTAATACCTTAGAAAATCGGTAGAAATTGGTCCATAGGGTCCTTCAACAGACACATCAGGATGATCAACTGCTGAAGGTGATGAAAGAATATGGTGCAATTTCTTAGTCCAACTCCCATCTCCTTTAATGATGACACTGAGTTGTTCGGACTCCAAATTACTGCTTGAGCTAATAGTAAAAGGATGCCATTGCATCCTTGAAATGCTAGGCACATTTAAGAACAGAATGCTCGTGGGAGTATAAGTAAGACCTAATCATATTGTATAACAAATATCATATCAGAAAATAAGTTTTTCATCGAAAATATTTCAAGATGGTTAATTATGTCCATCAGATACCGTCCATAAAAGCGAAAATTAATCTAAGATCAATAGTTACAGTATACCTCGTGTCTTGGAGAAGTTGAGCTCTAGAGTTTGGGAAGGGAGGATTCGAGCAGAGACTAAGCGAACATTTTGGCGAGATTGCAAGTACCTCAAGTAACGATCGACAAGGAAGAGATAGAAAGCGGGAAGAACATAGCAAAAGTAAGAGATGCCGACATGAAGGAGGAAGAAGAACATGAAGAGGATGTAGAAATGATGAATGTAAAAGAAGAGCTCAAAGAATTTTCTCCTAATGCGAGGGAATGTTGTTGCCCACATAACCAGCCCTGATAACAATGCTAATTCTCCTGCCACATTTGATATGCCTGTTTTTGCCCATTCTGACATCTGAATTCATCCAAGTAAATTGCATAAAACCAAGAAAAAAGTTACTGTTAAACCATATATTTGGTAATTATTTGATAGATCAATATAATAGGTTCTCCTGGAAAAACAAAGATTTCGTATCCTCAAAATTTTCTTTAAACTGGAGAAACATTCAGATTAACATTCGTCTTGTCCATATAATTAAGTAAGATGGATGTTGAATTCACAATAAAAGAAAATGCTCCCTCTATACCAAAAAAAATATATAGTACCCTTGTCCTAAAAGAATAATCCAATTTTAGAAATATAAATTTTAAAATTAGACTTATGAGATTGATGTGACATAATGATTCTTAAATTGATAAATAGTCATGAACTTTATTTAATTTTTTATATTAATTTTTAATTTACAAAATTAAGTCATCTAATTTTTATATTTGAGTTTTTCAAATTGGAGTATTTTTATCAGACGTAAATAGTACCGTAGTAATCCACATTGACTACAACTCAATTATTTTGTAAATTTTAATACAAAATCGTTATATCTTACTATATTAGAAACAAACACCACACTTAAGAGAAAGCATCACCATTTGCCATGTGGTATTTTCACATCATATTTTTAAAATAAATTTTTATTTCCACATCTCCTAGACTTAAAAGGTAAATGCAGTCCAAATCCACCCCCGCCTCCTATTTTCGCCAAAAAAAAAATCATGGGTTCATAAAAAAAACCCAAATCCACATCCCCATTTTTACCACAATAGACTCCCTAATCAATCCCTTTTCCACAATAAATAAATAAATAAAATTCCTCATCAATCATCAATTGAGAATATGTGATGAAATATACTCTATTCCAATTAGCATGTTCAATCTTTTCATTAGTTATGATCAACTATATCCTAATCGGATAAAATTTCGACTTCAAAAAATATTCTCTTTACCTGTATATATAAACACAAAGGAAAAAAAAATTCTCATTGATCTTGCTTCGGCCGTTGTGGTGGTGCAATTACAGGTATTAAAATTTAAATGATTTTATTTTCACAGATCATTTGTTTGGCTTTTATTATTTTTTGTTTTTTCCGTTCAAGAATAGTGTTATTACTATTATTTTTATGCATCCATCCGTTACAGCTATCGTAGCCGTTGTCAGGTAATATGATGTGATTTCTTATATGGTTAGTTAGCCTAGAATTTTTATATGATTTTAGTTCTGTTTGGATTGAATTCATTAATTGGGTTTTTGTTACAAAATGTGGTTTTTTAAATTTCTTTTTTATATTTCGTTCAATTAGAGTGGTTTTCTTTTTTTAATTATAGAGTCTTGGTTTTTTTTCGTATATGGTCAGTTATGAAGTGTGTTTTTTCTTTGTTTAATTGCATTTGATTTTGTTTCACACTCCCAGTTGACCAATTATTATTATTATTATTATTATTATTATTATTATTATTATTATTATTTGCAAATGAAGCGCGTTTTTTTGTGTTCGGACTTTCAAGAATATACTTTTTTGGATTTGATTTTTGGACTTTTTTTAGTTCCTCATCATATAAATAGTTCAGATCGCTTCTTCTAATTAATTTATGGGAAGCCTTTTATGAATTTGAGGCGGAGAGGGAAGGAATGATGTTGCTACGTTTATTTGTGTTTTTATAAAAATAAATTTCTCAATTTTTAATGGGTTATTTTTTAATTTTTTTTATTTGCCATGGCGAGGTGAGTTCTTTTTTACTTAACTTGAAACCTATGCAAATTTACATTATTTTCATTCTCATATTTGTTATCAACTAGTTTCAACCAATTTTAAAATCATATTTTTGATATTTTACTACCTATAAACTTTTAGAAGAAATAGTTCCAACAATTAAGGGTATACCCTTGGGAGGAAGCTTACTACAAAGCTATTATAAATCTCCAAAACTAAATATTGATCTGACACAACCAATGGAGAACATCAATAGATTATCTTACTAATATTTAAACTTATTGGCATGCTTTCATATTTTGTCTAGCATTTACTTCAAGACATATGTTTGATCAAGTTTATTTATATTTAAGAAGTAACACTTATGAAACATTTCTAAAATCTTCAAACATTTCTAAAATGTACCGGACCAAATACAATTTCTTTTTATGCCAAATACAAACATTTCTATGATCACACTTATAAAATATTTCTAAATTCTTCAAAAATTTCTAAAATATATCGGCCAAATACAAAATTTTTTTTTTCAGATACAAATAATTCTAAGATCTACAGATATATTGGGCCAGGGTCGCGCATTGCGCGACCAGACATCTCTAGTATATCAAAGGAAAGAAGATAATCGACACGTGTCGCTCATTGAGACCATCAAGTCTCAATTAACACGTGTCATTTGCTAATTGGTTGATCATTAATCAGTTAAAATTTTTTGTAAACAGCTAATAAATTATTTGCTACTCCCTCCGTCCCACAAAAATAATCCAATTTAATAAAAAATCTTGTCCTAAAAAAAAGTCCAATTTAACAAAAGTCAAAATTCATTGAATTGAAATGACTTAAATATCCAAAATAGTAGTGGTATGAAAAACAAGGTCCACTTACTTTGATTTTCATTTTTTTAGTTTTCTTATTTTTTCAAATGATTATATCTTTTAATACATGAATAATTAAAAAATATGTTATATATCAAATTAATCTACGTAACGAGATCTTTCCATCAAGATCCATTGTCAATATTTTTTGAGATAAAAATTTTGATCAAATTTAAATTGTAAAATAAATGCATATGTAGTTAACTTTTATAGAAATAACTAAAAGGGACATTTTTAACAAAAAAAAAACTAGAAGGGGCATTAATGAAAGTTAGGGGAATGAAATGAGTTGTACATTTGGTATGTTGACCAAATTAAAAAAGTTGTACAGTTTCAAACTGGATTATTTTTGTGGGACGGAGGGAGTATATAAGATTTTTACAGATATTACAAATTCCTGATTTTGAGCTTGAAAATGAATATTTTTAAAAATTGCTGAGAAACTCCCGACTTCAAAAGTCTTTTCATTTACGAGTTTAAACTTTTAATCTATTTTCATTTTGGCCCTTAAATTTCTATTTGTGTGCTATTTAGTTTTCAAGTTTATCGAAGCGATTAATTGTGTCTCATATTTTATTAGAACTACATCTAATCCCCAAAGTCCACTTGCCTATAAAAATAGGCCATATGCATCAAGACATAATTTACTCATTTTTTAAATATATTTTTTAAACCAAACATAACATTAGTTAGTGGTGACAATTTTTATCATACAACTTTTGAAAATCTTTGTTGTAATATTTTTTACCAGATCTTACAAATATACCTCTCATAAATAATATCAATACCTCTCATTTTGATCTAAAACTGATTAATCAAAAAATATTACAGTTTTAAGAAATATTAGTAACTACATTTTTTTAAGAGAATAAGAACAATATATTTGTAACTACATTATCTAATCAATTCTTTTGAAATATAAATTTTCAATATTGACAAAACCGCGCAAAGCGGATGATACACACTAGTTATTATAATAAAAATGATATTTCAACCAAATAGATACACCGAGAATAGCAAGAATCAAAAGACAATTTCGCTTTGTCGTATAACGCCAAAATATAGCTTAATTTGGTTGAAAAGGTAAATAGTGGTAACATCAAACGACTAGAAACGACAAACTAAACAGCTAAGATCCAATATTTATTTCGTCTGCAAACCGAACAATAAAAAGACATGCAACTCATTAAATCATTCACTTTAGTTATGAGTATATTAGTTGACCATATTAGTGTCAGTACTAACTAATACAGTAGTAACTAGTAAGTTATTATAGTAACTACTAATTACCTCGGATAGCCGATGGGTAACCGCCCAGAAGATGACGTAACAAACGCCGTGAGCAGTGAAGAGTGCCATGGCGATGTGTCCTAACCAGATATGATACTTGATGCTAGCCTCCGACGTCAGCCCGAATACCGGCAGCACCGACGAGCCACGCGCCACCGGGAAGAACAGAAACACCAGGCACGTATTCCCCACGATCCCCAGCCTTAAGGCCGCATTTTCCAGCCGAGCTTGCCACCTTTTTTTTTTTTACAATTACAAAAAATAAAAATAAAAATTCACACGATAATTCATTAATATAAAAACCAAAAAGAAATAATTAAGGCATTGAATCATCATGATTTTTTATTCTTACAATTTCTCCCCAGATTTTGCAGCTGATTTGGGTGTGATTTTGTCGAAATTGTTGTGTAAGGCAACTGAATAAGACCAAAGGAGAAGGACAATGAACATGAGGAAGAAAGCCAATTCGATTCCGGACACAATTCCAAGTCCTTTGATGATGATCGGCCTCCTCCATACACCACTTAATGCATTTACCTCACCACTATACATATCATATAAACAAAAGTAATTACAAAACCATCATTAATATCAATAATATTTTGGCATTTTTTTTTCTCTTTGTTAAACAAATTTTTGGACCGAATATACTTGCTCTCTCCGTCTCAAAAGAATAGTCCGAGAAAATAATAAATAATAATAATTAATTATTACCGCTTGGGATAGTGATCACCACCACCGCTGGTCTTGTTTCTAGAATGGAGATACCAACAGCCCAAAACCGCAACGAAGAGTACTGGAAATGTGTTCATCAGCATAGATGGCCCTGAAAATTCCAATCCAATTGGTCATCACAGAAACATATTAAACACCTGCGATATTCTAGGAATCTAAAGGGTTCAATTACTAAAAAAAAAGTTATGTCTCAGAATAATGCAAATTGAACAAAATTAATTAACATCACTTATATATATTTACCTTGACCTCCAAAATAAGTTGAATTGGCAGCGGTTCGGATCTTAGGAAGCCATTTTTGCCTGAAAAGATTTGTGGGTGCCATGATGTACATGAAGATATATCCCACGGAGACAACCAGAATAATTGCCATTATAACGGCTTGAATGGCATTTCTTGACGCCATTGCTGCCGCCTGCTTAATAGCTTCCCTTGTTTGATAATATTATAATCTCAATTAAGAACACAAGATTCACAGGATCTGGAGTACTATCAAGATTCCAACCAGAAGTTAAACTGCCAACTGGAACAAAAAAAATACTACTAAATAAATTGAAGTTTTGAGACGTTTGTGCATTGATTGCGAATATATAGAAGCTGCCCGCGACTCTGTGTGTGTGTGTGTGTGTGTGTGTGTTGGGTTCGCGTGTGTTTCGCGAATATAGGGGGGGTTGGGAAATAATGGTTAATATTTGAGAATTAAAATGCTGAGTTTAAGTGAAATTAGGATTCATTAATTACTGCTGATTACGTAGTGCTCGTGTCAAATTCAGTATGGCGTGTGTAGTTTTAGGCAATGCAGATGGTAAGCTTGGGTTTAATGTTCTAGCTGATTTGCAGGAGTTAATAATGTAAAAAAAAAAAAACCCCCGGGTAGTTATAATTGCTACTACACAAATTTCTAATTTAATTAAACATCATCAAGAATTTTAAAAACGTGCTCTTTAACTCACACAAGAAAAAAACAATTTTTTTATTTTCCCTTTGTCTTTTATCTATTTACTTTTATTTTTTATTTTTTACTTTTTTCCCTTTGACTAGGATAAGAAAAATGGCTAGGAATTTCACTTTTTAGTAACTGGAAATGTAGCATCATGAAGAATTCATTTTGGAATAATTTATGAAAAAAACCAAACAAATAAATGTACATTAATTTCATAGAAATAAATCTAAACAATCTCAGTCCGAGAAAATCTTCCATACAACTGCTGTACCACGTAGGATTGTGCAGCCAGACACGTAATAGGGTAAGATTGTAATTTTACAGGAAAAGTTACCATAAAATTAAGGGACATAATATTTTCGAGTATAATGAGTGTGTTACTGCACTAAAAAATGAGATACACTTGTTGTATAAAATAATTTTTCTCTCAGTCTTGCGTGCACGGAATTTTGATTCTTTTTTAGCAATACATACTGTTTTATTATTTACCATATACTTCAAAAATAATTAGTAGAAATTATCGAATTTATGTAAATATCTGCATTGAAATACATTGCATAAATATAAAGATAAGGCGAGGATACCCTTCTAATTGGTCAGACACACCGTACAACATGAGATATACGGTATATACAATAGAACGTCGGTAAATTAAAAATTGATAAATTAGTAATTTCTAACAATTAATAATTTTATTTGATCTCAACTTGAGACCAGTAGAAAAAGTGAAGAAAATCGATAAAATAATAAGATATTAATGTTTCAGAAAATCTTCTATATATCTATAGGTCCCAACAATACCATAAATTAATAAATACCCTAAAAGCAAAATAATAATAATAATGACTACAAATATTTAGTACAATGTAAACTATAAATACTTATTCTTTGTCACTGCAGATGATATGAACTATATATAAAAATAAGTATTTAAAAGAGTTTTTAATTATTGATTAATTCGAACGTAAAGATAATTGCAAATCATGTAATTTAGTGACGACTTTTATTTCTTATATAAATTATTTAAATTAATAATTTATTAATTATTTAATAATTATCTAAAATGATAAATTTTGGTGATCTCAACATTATTAATTTATCAAAGTTCTACTGTACTTCTTCAGCTTTTTTTTTTCCCTGAAGAAGGAATGTCCTCTTTTTTCCTTATTGTTTCTTCAGATAGAGCCCTAATTAATTATTTACTTATTTTTGTACAAAGACAGAACTCTAATTTTCAATTATGATTGTGAATTCCAAAACTTACTTTAACAAACAACTAATAAAAAAGAAAAAGAATAGCATTCGGATATGACATAAATAACTACAATAATAAATTAATCGACAAAACGAATTATTTTTAAAACGAGAATCATGGTTTCTATATCCAGTCGACCCGTAAACTCATTGTCTAGTCAACCTAAATGCTTTAAATGACGATTATGCTATTAATGATAATCGTGTTCGTATATACTAGATTACACGATTCACCAAATAATACGAAAATGTGAAATGTGATAAAAATTTCAAATGGTAATATACTCCCTCTATTTTAAAATATATGTCGTTTTAGGATTTGATGAATTTTTTTAAATATATGTCGTTTTTACAAATCGAGGCATATTTGACCATTTTTTACCAATATTACTCTTACATTGGAAATGAAACAGTATTTATAATGAATTTTTATTGGTTTATGATGAATTGTATAGACAATAAATAAAGGTATTTTTGTATTTTAACTACATTAATTAATGTTTTCTTGGTTTTGATGATTTCTTTAAAAAGACATATAGAAAAATAGAAGGAATAGTTTTTATTAAAAAAAAATCAATTTTGTTAAAATTGAAGTAGTTATAACCAAATTTACTATTTCGCCACAACCGATAGAGTATCTTGAGCTTCTACACAAGTGTGTTATTGTTGTTGTCGTTGTTGTTTTTTTTTTTCCTTTCCGTATTTTAGGGTGAAGTAATAAAGATGTGAAAAGGAGATATTGGAGATTTTAAGACCAATGTAAAGCTAAAACTGCAAAAGCACAGAGGGGATGTTGTCACAAAAAAAAAAAAAAAAAAGATACAAAGGGACAAAGGTCCGATGTGAACAAAACGGACAAAGCAATTATAAACTTTTCTTTTCATTTTCAAAATGAACATAGGTTGATTGGCATGTGCATAGAGCAATCTGTAATCTTTTGGTTAGTTCTCTCATCTGCCGAGATGCTTACCATGAGCTAGGGAGATTAGTCACTATTGTCGATAGTGGACACCAATGGAAAAAAAAAATTAAAAATAAAAAATGAAAAAATATTCTTTTTATTTACAATATTTGCCCTATCTTCAATCATGTGCTGTCGGTTTATTTTTTGTTCTTGTTTCTTATCAAAGTAGTAATAAATGACGGGAAGAAAAAAAATGAGGGGCAAACAAAAAAAAAATCTGATAAATAAATTATAATACTTCCTCAATTCCAAAATGATCGTTTAGTTCAGAATTCCTGTTTTCTTGTGTAAGTTATATTAAAATTAAAACATTAAATTGTACGATTATTTTGAAAGGTAGGAGTACTGTATATTTTATAACTCTTTTCTTCAAGCGATACATTTACATTCTATCTCTGAACATTTTAAAAGGGCTGAAGAATTGGGCCCACATGAAATGGATTGAGCTATGAAACTGGCAATGATTTTTTCAAACAAAACGATTTGTATTAGTTCTTTTCTTCACCAGCTGAAACTGATGGATTCAAAATGTAGATTGGCTCCCAAACCAGACGAACAAATATTAGCTACTTCATGTCTCATCTTCTTTGGCCCACAAACTAAAACCCCAACACTGGATTCTTTGCGCTCAAACAAAATTCCTGCATCGAAACCCAAACATAAACTTGTCAACTATATAAGTGACAGATCGTAAAATGATCTAAAAAGATCATCTGAATCCATATAATTAAATTGTGATACTTTTCTCATCCGTTTCTTGTAACATTGTTGTTTAAAATGGTACTGTCTCCGTCCCAAAATTATTTTACGCGTAGATAATTACTTTTCGTACAATTTGTACTAAAAATAAAAATTCAAACTAGACAATAATTTTGAGACAGACAGAGTATATATTATGTTTTTTGACTCGTAAAAGAAACTGTATAACATTTTGTCTTCTCGGGTTTGTTTATAATACTTACTCTTGAGGTCAGGCCTTTCACCATAATGCACATTTGTGGCCAAAACAAGTGATTGCTGAGGCAAACTTTCCAATTCTCTATCAGCATTGTAGAACCATGAATTAGGTGAGGCTGCTGGAGTTGCGCCTTCCAAGTTCTGGATCTGTTTGTTTTCCATTGCATTTTGTTTCTTGTTCCAAAGGAAAACCGCGGTCGCCACGATAACCATGCAGACACAAAGGAAGAGCATGTTCAGAACAGCTCTAGAAGAGGTTGAGTAGATCCTATTAGTACCATGATCAATGGGATAAATGTAGTATCTTGTAATAATTCCAAGAAAGATGAGGAAGATGATGAAGGACGCGGATATAATCGCGCCGAGCCACAGCCAGCCGTTTTGGCCTAGAATTGGTGCTATTGGTGAATCAGATGGCTTTGGTTTGAACCAAATTGTGCTTATGTTCTTCTTGGTTTCTGATGAACCGGGTTGTTTTTCTCTTGTCACGTAAGCTTCGATTTGTAGGTCTAGATTGGAAATTTGGGTTGGGGTATTGGCAATGGGGAGGATGAGATTTAGCATTGTCAAATCTGATGAATTCTTGAATGAAGAAATGAGAAGAACTGAGGGAGTCTTTTGTTTTAATGTCTCACTGGTGTGGATCAATTCTCGAATTATTGAGAAGAAAGGCGTGATTCCACTGCCTCCACTCACCATGACTAGCAGATCATGCCTGCCCAAAACAGAAAAAAAAAAAAAAAAAGAGAGAAGAAAATGCATCAAATTAATGTACTAATAAAACCATAATGTTTTGGTACTAAAAAGAAAAAGTTCAGTATTTACCTTAGAAAGTCAGTAGAAATTGGTCCATAGGGTCCTTCAACGGACATGGCAACATTTTCAACTGAAGAAGGTGATGAAAGAACTTGGTGCAATTTCTTTGTCCAACTCCCTTCTCCTTTGATGATAACGCTAAGCTTTTCAGGCTCCAAAGCGCAGCTTGAGCTAATTGTAAAAGGATGCCATTGCAACTTTGAAATGCTTGGCACATTCAAGAACATAATGCTCGTGGGAGTATAAGTAAGACCTAACCATATTATAGGCAATAAATTTCATGTCAATCAGTCTGTACTAAAAAAATAGGTCACATTAAATTTTTATATCTGTATTTAAAACAGTACAAATTTCAAAACTTAATTTGGACGGTTTGTTACACCTATAAACTACCGTTCCCATACAACATACCTCTTGTCTTAGAGAAGTTGAGCTCTAGAGTTTTGGAAGGTAGAATCCGAGCGGAGACTAAGCGAACATTTTGGCGAGATTGCAAGAATCTCAAGTAACGATCAACAAGGAAAAGATAGAAAGCGGGAAGAACATAGCAAAAGTAAGAGATTCCGACATGGAGGAGGAAGAAGAGCATGAAGAGGATGTAGAAATGATGAACGTAAAAGAAGAGCTCGAAAAATTTTCTCCTAATGCGAGGAAACGTTGTAGCCCACATCGCCAGCCCTGCTAACAATGCAATTTCTCCTGCCACATTTGATACGTCTGTTTTTGCCCATTTCAACATCTGTATTCAAAGCAAAATACATAAAATTTAAAACCCAAGGGGAAAAAAAATAATTATTGTTATATTACAATAACATTAGACTAAAACATATACAAATTCTAATGCAGAGTGTTAATTAGTAATTAAACATGAATTAATTACCTCGGAGAGTTGATGTGTAACAGCCCATAAGATGACGTAACACATTCCGTGAGCAGTGAAGAGTGCCATGGCGATGTGTCCTAACCAGATATGATACTTGATGCTTGCTTCTGACGTCAGCCCAAATATTTGCAGCACTGACGATCCACGCGCCACCGGGAAGAACAGAAACACCAGGCACATATTGCCCACTATTCCTAGCCTTAATCCCGCACCATCCAGCTTAGCTTGCCACCTTTAATTAATTAATTTTCATCAAAATCATGCATTGTTGTTACTTGAATAAATAAAATTTTAATTTTCTTAGAGAAAAATGGACAAGTGTAACTTCATGTTTATTCAACGAAAATAGTACATTAAATGCGACTTTTACTTTGGAATAGTAATACATTAGATATTGTTGGAGGGTGGATGATATAATTCTTACACTGTCTCCCCATTTTTTGCAGCTGATTTGGGGGTGATTTTGGCGTAACCGTTGTGCAAGGAGACTGAAAAAACCCAGACAAGAAGGGCGATGAACATCACCAGAAAAGCCAACTCGATTCGAGAAACAATCCCAAGTCCTTTGATGATGATCGGCCTCTTCCATGAAGCCAATGCATTTTCCGCACCATTTCTGTCAAAAGAATTAACAAATAGTGTTACATACTAAAAGTAAAATCTCAAACTGGATAATAATTTTGGGACAAAGGGAGTATATTTTACTTGATTCGCAAAAAAATCATTGAATTATATATTTAATTATTTTATACCCTTTGGAATGGTGATACTGATCACCAGAAATGCTCTTCTTTCTCAAGTGGAGATAGACACAGCCCAAAGCAGCAACAAAGAGTACAGGAAATGTGTTAATCAACATGGATGGCCCTGCATAATGCACAAAAATGGTTAATAGAGAATTGAAGATTAATTGACAAAAAATGTTCTTTTCCTTTTTTTTTTAATTTACAAAATAATTAAATTGGATAATGACTTACCTTGAGCTCCAAAGTAAGTTGAATCAGCATCCGTTCGAATCTTCGCCAGCCATTTTTGTCTATAAAGATTTGTTGGTCCCATGATGTACATGAAGATATATCCAACGCTGACAACAAGAAGAAGTGCCATTATTATTGCTTGAATGACATTGTTTGTAGCCATTGTTGCTTGCTTCTCAATTTGTGTAGCTAATTTGTTGTTCTTATGAGAGAACAGGTGTATAGAAGAAGCTGATGAGTACTTGAGGTAGGGAGAAGGGAGATTAGGACTTGCATTTATAGGGTGACTATGTACGTATGAATATTCCAAATAGAAGTTAAACTAGCAAGTGAAAAAAATAAAAATAATGTGGGCGTTGATTATTGATATTCTCATACCTTTAAAAAGCATGGTTCAGGCCATTTTCTTCTCTGTTTTTTTTTGTCTTTCCTAAGTGGTGATTATTAATTTATTTATTTTGTTTGAATAACGTGAATGGAGCCATTAGGTTACAGAAATTTTGTATTACTGAAATCCTGAATTATGTGATAGAAATTGTCCTATGAACAGAGCACGATATTATAAGTAATACTCCCTCCGTCCCATAATTATTGTTCTGTTTGAGTTTTCATTTATAGTTCAAATTGTACTAAAAGTAAAAGCTCAAATTGGACAATAATTTTAGGATAGAGGGAGTAATTTTTAGTTCAACAAATGCACTATTAAAATGAAAATATTGCCAATATTTATCGGTTGATATGATATGTATCTCCTGCAACACAGTACAGACAAGGATTTTATAATCATTAAAATTGTACACTTCATTTATAGATTTCCACTTCATTTACCAACAATCATTTTTTGTGACTTGCAATCAGATTAGACCTTGCTTTGCAAAAACTATATACTCCATAGGTCTCAAATAAAATATTGTTTGTTAAATTGATTTTGCATAATGTAAACACGATTCTAAGTTTTTGAGACAGGAAAAGTATACATGTTTGGTTCAGGCCTTGTTGTGCTGAATGAGTTGACATTTTGAGTAAAGAGTCAACTCCAAGCGAATTGCGGCACAAGTGATTTAATTTTGGTTTTGTTTACTTCCCTTCATTGCATGGTTCACGCTGCGTTTTGCAGATCCTTTAACATCACCTTCAATAAATTCTGATCATTTGGCATGAAAATTAGCATTTAGCTCATATCATCTTTGTTTAAACGTAATCATAATGTATATTCCTTGAGAAAGATGAAATGGATCGGTTAACATCAACAAAAGAATTGGCAGACGTCACTTGCACATTTTTAATTCCATCCTATTTCAAGTTTAAACTCAATAATGCATCCCCTGCACCAGATAGTTGTGAAATAAATAAATAAATAAATTGTAACACCACAAGTTTCTCCTATAGAAAGTTGTTTGACCTAAATTATGAATGTATACTTGGGTGTGGCACATAATGAGAGATGTACATGTTATCTTGTGTTCATCTTAGGCCCGATGTTGGATTCCTCGTGTTTGATGTGTGTCAAACTTGAGTTAACACATTGATTGGTATAGAATATATGTTCATATACACGGCCTCCATTTACTTTTATCGTTTTAAGGTGATTTTAAAATATTTTTTCATTTGTCGCACTTCATTTCTAATATATCGTCATTAAAGACAGTTTTTTCAATTTCACCTTTATTTCTCTCTACTTTATAATTAAAATATATTAATGACAATTACTTATTTTTTGCTCCAATTTCAATTTTTTAAAAAAATTATAACACCTTTTAATTAGGAGCAAGAAAGACAATGGATATAAAAATTAAAGATTCAATCATTGTTTCTTACAAGCTTTAAAGAGACAGATAAACGTAAATAAAAGTAATATGTAGATATAAGGGCTGACTTTCATGGATGGAAGTACATTTAATTAACAGTTTTTTTCCCAACATCCTATGCATTGTATTTACTGTGGCTAACAATAACTAGTATTTTACTCGTTCAGTAGGTGTATGCTAGCATTGTACTCTTTCGGTTCCAAAATAAGTGTCATATTAGAGTTTGCACATAGTTTAAAAGAACATTAAATAGAATAGCTAAATTACTAGAATATTCTCAATTAACCCCATTAAAATAAATACTCACTAATAATATTATTTCTTTTGAGGGTATGTTTTAGAAATTTTTGAGAAAAAATACGTTGGAATCCAAAACGACACTTAATTTGAAATTTCTCTATTTTGCTAAAACGACACTTATTTTAGAATAGAGGGAATACTAATAGTAACCGTAGCATTTACATAATACCCTCTCATTAATTTTTTTAGTGACTAATCTCATCGTTCATGGTAAGAACACCACGGTGGAAGAGCTAGCCAAAAGATCTAATACCTTTTCATTCATTTCTTTGATCATTAATTAAATAAAAACTCATGCATAAAGGCCTCTTTTGAATTTGAATGATACAAATAAGATTTCTTGCGTAGTTGGGCTTGCCAAAGGGGCATTGAGTTGATAATCAAATAAATTGCTCTTCTGAATTCAATAAGTGAATCAATTTCAATGAAAAGCTACATGACCATTCATAAATCCTTATGTTCATTCTTTCATGGCAATTAATACAAATTTAACTCAGGCAAGAACACTTGAGACTGAATTTGCCTGATCATAATGTGTTGATCATCGATCTTCATACCATCCTGTATTTGTATTATATATATATGCGCATCTAGATCAATCAATATTGTTGATTAATGCCTTCTGTATTGTTGTGTGTATATATGTATATATGTGCATGATGAATTATTGTATCTTCTACTTCACGCCCTTTTCAGAAGCAACTGCAAACTCCTTCATTTCAAGCAAAGCATCTTCAAAGCACTTAGCCAGAAGTTGGGAATCTGGGATTATGTCCTTTGCCACTAAAATTTGCATATCAGCCTTCCCAGCATAACTCACCATATGCATCGTGATAGCCTTCAATTTCAATTAAACCAAAATTACTAACAAAACTTACACATTAATGACCAATTTATGGTCCTGTTTATGATACAACAGTACAACAAGTAAAAAAATCATTTTGACACGGAAGAAATACAATAATATTAAAGGCAATCGAATCGGGAGAAATGGTGCATAGAGAACTTACATGTGGTAGGCTGGTGGAATTTGCTCTGAGATAAGTAACTGGGTTGCCAACTGCTGTAATTTCTTCCTTAGGGCCAATCACATTCGAGATTGTGAATGTTGTGTTACACACAATCCTATAATTAAGCTTGCAAGCCAACTATATTCAAAAAAAAAGAAAAGATAGCAAAGGAAATTAGGAAAGTATAACTTTGTAAAGTTGCTATAATAACAATGATGGCAAAGTAAAGTTGAATGATTGATTTGAAACATGTTGATTAAGGTGAAGGATGAAAAACATGAAGTAGATTACAGGATGAAATTGAGGAGTCCCGATTAATAATCGCGATTTACTAAATTAAAAGTTCGATTCATTAACCTAGTTTTTGAAACCTAGCTAATTATTTACAGTGAGGAGATATACAAAGTTACAGCACATCACCTTGGGTCCAAAGTTGGACATAACAAAGTCCCCAATTTTGTAGGAGAATAAGGCCTCGAGTGAAAGCTTCTTCTTGTCGATCATTTGTTTAGCTCTTCTTACAAATTGGAGAGGATCCGATTCATTTTTGTGGTAATAAACAGGCAATAGCAGCATCCCAAACTGGTTACCGAATCGAGTTTTTGATTTTTCATCCATCAACTTGGTCATATCCTATCTTGGCAAAATACCGGAAAATTTGTGTCAGAATAAATGTCTAAAAGAAGTCTATTATTCCCTACGTCCCAATAATATGATTGTTCTATTCATTGTACTAATTTAATATTACAAAAGAGAGAATTATTTTAAGACGAAGAGAGTATACGTTTTCATAACGATCAAGGAAAAACGTACCTGCAACCCTGGCTGTGGTCTCAAGTTTACCATAGAAAGTCCAGTCATCTTACGTCCCTCTGGTAAAGCTAATAAAAATACCAACCCAGACCCAAACATGAGAATTCTAACCATAAGTCCATAACATTAAACTATCCGATCATTACAAAATACATCTAAATTGAATTTACCACGAGCACGTTATATTCATTGAGCCGGTTTAGGGTCATAGCATGGCTTTTTTTTATCTGTGTTTGTTTTGAGTACATGAACCGCGAGTTGCCAAAACATTACATAATATATTGAAACTAGTTCTTGAAATTGTGATCAGAAGCAAAGTTTCCGAACTTAATCAAATTAAATCCCTAAATTGACTATATATTCTTGTTATTATCCAAATAATTTTAGAAAAAAAAAATCTAAAACAATTTATCAAAGGCCCAAAAAAAAGAAAAAGAAAAAAAGAATTGGTACCTTCAGGTGATGATCGGATGCTTAGGTATTTCGAGAGCCCGGATGAGACAACTCCAAAAAGTACGTCATTTATAGTCTGCAAAGAACCATACCTATATTTTACACTTAATAAAGTGCCCTTCAAAAGGGAATACAAGTACAAAAGGGCATAGATAAATTTGGTGGCGCATTCAAGATGGATTTGCAGATTCAATCTTTTCTGTTCTTTGGTAAGCCAGCTTCCAATCAGATTAATATGAAAAATGGAAAACAATATAAAAATCCTTCCGTCCCAAAATAATTGTCATATTTATCATTTCACTTTTAATATAATCATTACAATCATTTTAGGACAGAAAAAAAAAATTTAAATTAAACTTTTGCCATGACAACTATCCAAATCCCCGAGATAAATTACTCACTCAGTTCCTCTCTTTAATAGTCTTTTACGTTATATTATTGATTTAGTTTAGCAAAATAAATTCAGAAAATAAGACGGAGAAAGTATATATGCCTATAAGCGACGAGGCTGACTAAGGAGGCAGTCTATGTCACAGACGGAAAAGGAGCAAATCCACACGTAAAATAACATCTGCAATGGTTGTGGACCTTGCGGCTGTTCTTGTTTTTTCGTGGAAATAACTAAAAAGGGGCGAAAAAAAAAAAGAAGTGTTTTTTGTGGATCCAAAAATTCCACCCTATATATGGATGGAATGGAGATCATGGACCGCAAAAGAAGAGAACTTATCAACGCTATTCAATTCCCATTTTGAAAGCGAGATGCGAAGATTATATTCTACTACTAGTAATAAATACTACTAAATACGTGATAGAAGAATAATGCATTTCTACCATTAGTGAAATTCTTGCCTTAAAATTTTTAATGCCTACACATAAAAGGTGTGTGAATTTGATTTTTGAAGTGAAACATGACTATTATAATAAAACGGGACACTAGTTCCCAAATAGAGAGCTATAGCATTGACAAACAAAAATGTCTCCATTTTAGTTATCAAATATGATTGATAATTTTTTTTTTTTTGGAGGGGGTGAAATACAAAATATGATTGATAGTAGGTACAAGTAAAGTGGGTAAATGATCAATCCTCCATATTCGTAGTTTTATGCACCAAAATATTCTCTTTTCTTTATTATAATTGCATTCCACTTTATACCCTAAAGTTTTAAACATTGGAAATTTCAAAATCTATATTGTCTCATCTCATCAAAAAATAAAAATTAAAAAAAATCTATATTGTCTAATGATCGAGATAAAAAGAACATAATGAAATTTGAGTACCATTCCATAATGTTGATATTCCTGCAATTACTTAATCTGGCCTCGCGATAAAATGTGATTATCAATATAAAATAATCTTGTAAGAGAAATCATACCGTAAAATAAATAAGAAATACTACCTCCGTTCTAAAAAAAAATAGTCCACATTGAGTTTTGAGTTTTGTATTATTTTTAGTACAAATTTGAAAACTCAATGTGAATTATTTTTTTTTGAGATGGGAGCAGTACATTATTGATGTGGCCAGAAAAAATGACTATTAATCTTAGCATTAAATTGTACTACTAGCTAGTTATAAACTATGCTATTGATGATAAATTAGCTTTTGGTCATTATCATTGTCACTTCATTCACTCAAGCCATCCGTTTGTTCATCATTACTAATAAATAATAATAGTCAAATAGAACAAGTAAATATAATAAAGAAAATATGCGAAGGAAAGAAATTTTTTATAAAAAAAAAAAAAGAAAAAAGAGGTCCACATATGAAAAAACTTACCGCGCCAACAACCGCTTTTTTGACAATCTTCATGTCATCAAGCACGAACTTAGCGGTTTCCAATTTCCTCGGCCAGAGCTCCACCCCAGCTCCGCCACTAACGGCGGTCTTCTTATCCTTCAGCCACATGCTTCTCAGACAAAACTCAACCGCGTACACCAACGTGTACCAAACCACATTCAACAACGTCCACAAGCTCCGCCTTCTCCTCCGGCGCTCCTCGCCGGAAGCAGCAGTAGAAGAAGAAGTCCCCAAACCGCCGATGGTCGGCGTCTGGGCCGGGTCATCGGCTCTCCGGCAACACGACAAGAACATGGACATCAACGAGATCCCATCTCCAAGCGCGTGGTGAACACGGAGGACGATGCAGTTATGGGCCATCAGGAGGTGGATTTCCCACAACGGCTTGTCGGTGCTGAGCGGACACGAAACGGAAAGATCGGCCAAGTACTCGTTGACGGCGTCCTCCGGGGAAACTGACGGGTCCTCCGTTACGGGTTCGGGCCGGATGACCAGGTGCCGGTCAACGTTGATTTGGGTGCTCCGCCAGTGTTCCCGGCCGTTTGAGTCGCGGACTAGAAGGCTGGTGAATCTGGGTTGTTTGAGCATTACGGAGGCCTTGACTTCGGATCTTATGGCGCCGATATCGATCGGGTTCTTCAACCCGATTGCGCAAGTTATGATCGTGTTCATCTCCGGCTGCAGGAACATCCGGCCGGCCGGAGTTAATGGCTCGTCTTTCTCGGTATTATAACCCATTTCTTCTTCTTTGTGAATATTTTTACGGTAAGAGGCTGCTATATATATATATATATATATATATATCTATATATATATTGTTGATGGAGAAATGTCAAAGTCAAATATGGGGTTGATTTAATTCAGATGGACTAATGTTATTTTATTAAAAAAAAATTGACCATCTCATCAATTTTTAAGACTGCTTTCTCAAATCGTGGAAACTTTCTAGCAAAAACTAGAAGAGATTGATTTGCTATAGCCTCATAGCTAAAAGGTAAATGAACAAGATTATCTATAGATATACACAAATTAATTGAAGGATCATTATTAGGTTGGTAAACATCAATGTCAAGCAGACAAGGGAATCTAATAAGAACTCATTTAAGGAAAAATGACTATATGTTTGAGGATGTAACTTTGGGTTCTCGGGTCCCGAGTACTCTCTAACAGTTTTTGTCATTTTCTTTCGATAGTCATGAATATCATCTGATATTGTTTTTAGAGAGACGAATTTCGTAGTAAATTATTTCGGCGTTATGCGAACCATCGTCCAAAGGGAATTCAAATGTTCAGCTTCTCCTTTTTTGGTGTTGAGTCGCAGCTGGAGCAAGATGTAGTTAGTAAAATTCTCTTGTTAATTGTTTTATTTTGAATTTAGCCTTTTGCCTTGTACCAAAAAATAAAATAAAATTATTCGTTGTATACCGGTAGCTAAAATTAATAGGACGGTCAAACTCAATAATATTAGCTAAAATTAATTGGACGGTCAAACTCAATAATATAATCCCTCTGTCAGCAAATAATTTTTATTTTTCTATTACAGATTGCAAACTAGACTGTTTCTTTTGGGACGGAAGAAAGAAAGTGCATTTCTCTTCTTAATTTGAACTTTGAAGGTTTAAGTTTAAACATGAGTTAGGACGACAAGTTCGTTACTTGGATAGGCTTTCATGGGCCACACGTTTGTGAAAATGCCAAAGAGGAAGTTAGGACTTAGAAGTAATTAGCCTGACTTCATCCAAGTTTGATTATGACAGTAGGTAACCCCCGTATATAAGCAGTATTCTGATCTGGGATCTAGTTGAAATTTTGTCTGGAAGTATGAAAGATCCAAATTCTGCCATCAAGTTAGAAATATTGTTCACAAAATGAGTAATGAGATGGGTAATTATTAGTCCTTCGCAAGTTAGCAATAGGGAGTGATTGGCCTAAACAGCTGAACTAGCTAAAAATAAAATGTCCATCTCTTAAATTAAACACAGCTACATGAAAATGATGGGCTGGTTATTTAATGCCTTTCATCTCTATTTTTCAACAAAGTTCTCATTTTTCAGCATCCGTGGAACCACTAAACCCAAACAATACCAATTAATCGATGCAAGACCTTGGCAGAAAAGCAGTGTTCATCAATCACCATTTACATGTTATTTAGAGAGGTTCTAAAAAATGTCCTGGACCCGGTGTAAATGGGTTGCTATCTACTGCTATGTTCAGCTTCCGCAGCATTCTTCATGTCGCACAGAGCATCTTCGAAACATTTGGCGAGAAGTTTTGGATCGAGCACGATGTCTTTTGCTGCCAGTATCTGTAGATCAGCCTTCCCAGCATAACTCACCATGTGCATTGTGATTGCCTGCAATGTGCATTGTAGCCAAACTGCCATTATGATGAAATTTACCATATCTCCAGCTAAATAATTTATATACCGCCTGAGGAAAAAACAAAACAAAAGAGATGGCTAAATAGGAAGCTTTACATGAGGCAGGCTAGTTGAATTCACCCTCAGGTAAGTCACTGGATTCCCAACAATTGTGATCTCCTCGCGAGGACCAATCACGTTTGAGATGGTGAATGTCGTGTTGCTTATTATCCGGTAATTCAGACAGCTAGCCATCTACATATACGGCAACAGAAGAGCGAATGATGTAAACACTAGGAAGAGAAGCCAAAAAGATATCAGCAACAGGACCATATCTCATGTTACAATTTTGTGTCACATTTGTGCATCATTGTTCTAGACGTCACTGTTTGAATCAAATGGTCAGCTCCGCATTGTTGTTACTCGAATAGGGCATATATAGCACAAAAAGAAAATGTAATGGAGAATTTATGCCTTGTATATTCACCTTTGGTCCAAAACAAGACATAACTAGGTCGCCGATTTTGTATGAGAAGAGTGCCTCCAGCGATAGTTTTTTCTTGTCAATCATCGCTTTAGCTCTCCTCACAAACTGGAGAGGATCAGAACCGCCTTTGTGGTAATAAATAGGTAATGCTATCATACCAAACTGGTTACCAAACCAGGTGTCTCTTTTGCTTTCCAATACTTTCTGAAACAGAAGAGAAATTGTACTTGAGCTTCCCAGTTAGAGATGGAGAAAGTCATAACTTCCAAGTGAAAAACTAGGCTCGTCTTGGATATGAAAATATACCTGCAGCCCAGGCTGTGGTCTTAAATTTACCATAGCAATTCCTGTGATCTGAACCCCTTCTTTCAGATCTATAGGCAATAGCTAAAAGTAAGGCAGTTGGTACATCATATATATAGTTTCTTGATACACAAAAAATTCATGTTCTCAAAGATGAATAGAGTTTTGCAATACACATTAAACAATGTGCCATTAAAATGCATGAAAGTCTTAAATTACATGGATTCTGAATCAAAATTCATGGATTAATTATTGCAGTCAATTGGAGTACCTTTGGCTTCTGTTGACTGGACATCCAAGTATCTGGAAATTCCACATGAGATAACTCCAAAAAGGACATCATTTATAGTCTGCAAGACAGAAAGAAACAGAAAATTGATGAGAGAGCAGAGTATCTATACTAAGAGATTTCTTAAAGAAATTAAACTAGTATCAATGTCTCTGTTTGACTGTTCATTGCAAATCCGTGTACGAAAACTTAACCAACATGCCCCACTTGGAAAAGGAAAGCATTCGAACCCCCAATCGTTTTGGTACTGATATTTTCCAAGGATTGAGGAGATAGTTCCAAAAAGTTGGGAAAAGGGAAAACAAATGTACAAAGATCAAATTACCAATAGAAATGAAAGGAATCAAACTGAACTAACCGCGTTAGCAACGGCTCTTTTGACAGTCTTCATATCATCAATTCGGAACTTGGCGGTGACTAACTTCCTAGGCCAGAGCTCCACTCCATCTCCGCCGCTAATGGCGGTCTTCTTGTCCTTTAACCACAAGCTCCTCAGTATGAGCTCCATCACAAAGATCAGAGTATACCAAATCATCTTAATTATCCGGCAAAAGCTCCACCTAATCGTACTGCCCTGCTGCCGCCCGCCAACGCCGTCGAAGGTTGGCGAGCGAGTTGGATCGTCTGCTCTCCGGCAACAAGATAGTAATGTGGACATCAAAGAAATCCCATCTCCGAGCGCGTGGTGTAGTCGGAAAATGCCGCAGTTGTGGGCCATTAAAAGATGGATTTCCCACAAGGGCTTGTCCGTGCTGAGTGGAGTGGAAACGGAAAGGTCAGCTAAGTAGTCGTTGACGGCGTCTTCTTCCGGGATTGACCCGTCGCCGCGGGTGAGGGAATCGGGGAGGACAATCACGTGCTGATCAACGTTGACTTGGGTCCTTCTCCAGTGCTCACGGCCACGCCGGTCAACGACAAGGAGGCTGGAGAACCTGGGGTGCTTCAGCATTACGGAGCTGGCGATTTCGGCTTTTACGGCGTCAATGTCAATCGGGTTTTGAACGCCAATGACACAGTGGATGATCTGGTTGATGTTTGGCTGGAGGAATAACCGGCCAGCCGGAGTGAGTGGCTGGTCGCATTCTTTCTCCGGCACGATTTCTTCCATTGCTTAGCTGCTGTTTAATCTTTCCTCTGTTTTTTTTTTCCCTATCGGGCATTGAATTGAAGTTTATATGGTTCCCCATGTGCTGCGTTTGAAAGGGAAATCAGCCTGCCTCGATGTTCGAGTGTTGTCCCAAAAGAATCTTCTGGCCAATGCACTTCCGCGTGACGTTTTTAATGACATTAATATGCTTTCTGCGATTCTATTCGTTGTTTTTGTTTTGCTTTCAAGTGATGTATACGTCAATCGCTTGATCAAGCAAAGTAATCTTTGATGAATTGCAGATTCTTGTTAAGATAAGCTCTACAGACTCTAACAAGAACACATGCAATTCACTCCGTAATCCTGTGGTCCTTTTAGGCTTTCATTGCATCTGTCCTTGTGAATTGGCGTTCACATAAAATGTCAAAAGACAGGACTAATCCATTATCATCGGTCCTAAAGCTTTTCTTTTGGTACATATTGGGGCTTTTTCCCCCTTCCTTTGTTGTCTTGATAAGGCTAAGGGGTTCTACCCCTAATTTCGAACAGGCAACATACTCGCCCATAAAACAGATGCATATGAGCAGGTACTACTTTAAGGAGGGCAGTAATGACTTAGGAACCTACGCATGTCTCCTTTCAAGATTGATAGAGTAGGAAGTCCTCAGTTCTCAGTTCTTAGACCAAATTTGAATAAGGAACCAATAATTAATGACTTTCAAATCGTTACTATCAGATTTAAAACAGTTAACAAGACAATACATATGCTTTCTCGGAAGTCGGAACAACGTGTTCAAAATAGATGACGAACACCGGGCTAAATGACAACCACGAAAGACCTTGCAATGGAATTTTCCGCAATAACTAATTCTTTCTAGTTGGTGTATGCCAACCAAAGCTAAAAAACTAAAACTCATTTCAAACAGAATGTTTCATGGCATCAGATACACAGCACAACACAGAAATGATGTTTAACAATCATTGAGCTTTCAATCTCATTATCGGAAACCGCCATTATGATTAGAATAGGGGTATCAAGCAATTTCGAGCCTCGCAGATAATAAAAATGTAGAACTAGATTTTGTCATTGTTTCATTAAATGAGAAACCAGAGAACAGCAAAACAAAGAGCAAAGAAAGCGCGGAGAAACAATGACAGAATGAACACAGTTCAAATTGAAGCAAAAACCAGAAAAGACAAAGGTCTCTTATTCTTATCTGAATTATGGCTTGGAGCAATAGAAACCCATAGTTAATCTGTGATTGGTAGGTAAAAGAACTATTCGGTTCCCGGCTGAAGGGACACAGATGTACCTCAGTAACTTCTAACAGACTCCAAATATTAAGGGAGTAGAAAACTTGTCCACACAATGGAAAACTTGTTCACACAATGCACAGGGAAGGGGCAACCAAACACTAGATCCAAGTATCAAAAGAAACATGAGCCTTAGAGAAGAAATCAAACTCAAAAAGAGGCTTTAAGTGATGCTTCAAAACCTTAGAAGGGGGTAAAAGCTAAGCATTAATCTCTTTCAGCAAGATATTACTGTTGCATCATTCGGCCCTTGAGGATGAGGATGCAAGATAAAAACAAATAAAATTTCCTCAAAGGGTACAAAATAATCCAAAGCTAAAAAAACAACATTCCTATCATCCAACTATTATGAAAAATAAGAAGTAGACACAAAACAAGACAACAAAAAGGAACATCCATTTATGAAGCAATGCAGAAATCAAGGATAAAAGTTTCCTGGTAAAATTAATAACCATTGTCAAAGGACATGACACAGGTGCTCGCAATAAGTTCCATTCAAGGGTTCTGAAAAAATAGAACATCACATCACAGGGGGGAAAACAAATTCAACTAATTTGAATCCCAGTTGCATCAGAAACAGGAACATATCCATTAACAATTACCACCCAGCAATCAAAAAGGCTAACCTTAAGGAAAACTCAAAACAGACAGCTGACTTAAAGAACGGAAAATAAGCTTCACAATACACTCGATGCAGAATCAGAATAGAGAGAAGCCCATACCATTGGGTATCCAATTCCAAAATTTTAACATCAGAACATTAAAACATTACTACAGTCTCAAATAACTTAATTAACTATTAAGCAGGAAATCTGTAATTCGTAATACCCTAACAAGGTCCACAATAATCCAACAAGAAATGAAAACATTTCAACTTTCCAAAGCATTAGGCTTACTCAAAATCCATACTTGAACAAACAAGTAACAATAAAAACACTCAACGGTAAGACTTCTGGAACCTAGAACGAGCACCACGACCACCAAACTTCTTGGGCTCGCACCGCCTGGGATCAGCAACAAGCAAAGTCCTGTCGTATCGAGCCAGGATGTCCTTAATCTCCTTCTTCGCCTGCTCATCAACGTACTTCTGGTAGAAGGCAACAAGGGCCTTGGCGATGGACTGACGGATAGCGTAGATCTGGGAGGTGTGACCGCCTCCCTTGACGCGGATGCGCATGTCAACTCCGGCAAAGCGGTGGCGGCCGAGGAGCAGGATTGGCTCGAAAGCCTTGTACCGGAGGATCTCCGGCTGGACCAGCTCGATAGGAACCCCATTGATCTTGATCAGGCCGCGGCCTCGCTTGCAGTGGGTGACGGCCACAGCCGTCTTCTTCCGGCCAAAACATTGAACGGATTCCGCAGGGGCAGTCGCCATCTTTGTTTCCTGTATTCGTCTTCCTCTTTGCGCCGCAATAGAACCCTAAATGCCTGAGCTGTGGTTGAGAGTGGAGGGTTCAACGTGAGTATATATATTGATTTGTATTTCCTCTTAACCCCTCAGAGATTAAAACAATTACTTTATGAGCCCTAATAGTTTGGAAATATTTGTTTATGCCGTATCATTTAAACTAGAAAGTTTTGTAACCCCATGGAAATTCATCCAAAAAAATTAATAAGATAATGATTTCATCTTTGTGAAATAAGTTCTTTTTTCAAGCTGAAATAATTTATAAATATTGGAAATAAAATATAAAAACCAAAAAGAACACCACAAACAAAACAAGAAGAAATTATCATGATTCATGACGCATAAAACAAATAAAAACAATTAATTGTATTTTATGGAAGATGGAATCATATTAAGACACTAGATAGGTATCGCATGTGTCAGTAATTTTGAAAATATTTTCATAATTTCCTATCCTGAGTCCTGACTACTAAGATGTCAACTTTCTCCCTAAATCTTATTTTCTTTTCCTCTAAGGAGGTGGGAGGAAGAGAAGGGTTTTTGAGAGTATTGAAGAAAAATAATCATCATGGATCAAAGTGTTTTTTTTTTCTTTTTTGGAAAAAATAGTTGTATATATTAGTTAAGAAGAAATATCTATTCTACGGCACATTCGACTGAATGCTAAAGTATACATCTCAATTACGTCTTGTCTATTAACTTTACTCAGTATACAAGAGAGATTTTTTGTTGCTCTTCCCGAATTGTTGCAGAAGGTCGGGCATGTTTGAGAGTAATTGAAGAAGCATTGAGAGACAACTCAACTTTTGCCAAATTCAAACAGATAGTACCACGGTTGTCCATGCAGTAAAAGGATTAGTTAAACTTTCTTATGAATTTAGTGTGTTAGGAACTGATATGTGTATAATATTATCGCTAATAACAAGCTCTAGTATTACTAAAGTAAGTAGAAATATTATAGAAAATGCCCATAGAATGGGGAAGGCAACCCTGAGGTTGTTATTGAATTTGTACTTGTAATACTTTGTGTTTAATGGTTTTCAAAAAAAAAAAAACAAAAACAAAAACTCAGTGTACAAGACTAAAATGAGGAAAATTAAATTAACTAACAAATCAAGAACCTCCTAAGCCTCAGAATGCATTAAAGCAGAATGTAAATCTCCAAGAGGAATCTCACAATCTGTATAAAATATAAACCTGGCGGCGAGTGATTCCCAAGTGTGTTGCTTCATTCAAATCGAAAAGACAAGTCGTTGCATCTGCTTGAAAAGGAGAAAGCACGATTAGATCCACCGTCTTGCTTTGCATCACCATTCCACGTGGTGATACTATTTCCAAGTGCACGGCCGCTTTCTGTGATTGATGACTAAATGAACTATCAAATATAATCAAAATATCCATTGGAACCCTCTGTGATTGATGACTAAATGAACTATCAAATATAATCAAAATATCCATTGGAACCCTCTGCGGATGCTGCTGAGTGGCACGCTTTGTAACCCTAATTGTAGCATGATTTTGTTGATGGAAATCTGGCTATGAAAATTGATATCAGTGTGAATGAGACTCCATGATATCGCCAGGTCAATAGTCTGACTACGTTGTTTGTTCAGTTTTTTTTTTGTGATTTTTTTAAATTAATAAAATAATAACTGTCCTATCCCAATATACTTTTTTATATTTCCAATATATCTTTTTACATTATTAATACAAAAAATACTTAAAACATACACACTAAAAAAACGAAACAAACATTCTATCGTTCTTGTCCCACTAAATCCTCCAAACAATGATTAAGAACAAATCAACCTCTTGTTTAGGCGAATGCGTCTAAATCCATGAGATGAACCATTGAAGTATAAAATCATATGTGGAATGAAATATATAATTAAAGTGTTTTTATATTGTAAGTTTTTTGGTGCATAAAAATACGCACTAGCTTAATGTGAGGGAGGAAAAAAAAAACAAAATATTTAAAGAATTACCATTACTTGTAAGTCTTACACTTCCAGGAAAAAAAAATAATTCACATCTTTAATACATAGTCTTTCAAAACTTAATATGATTTTTGTTTTCGGACAGAGGTACTTTATTCCATGACATTTTTTTAGTGTTTTCTTTGCCCCAACAAAAATCACAGCCACCGAGATAATTTACCCATCTATTTTAGCATTTTTAGCATAGTGATCTGTCTCAAATTTATCTTATGGACTTTGCCTTCTTATTTTCTTTTTTGCCCAAAATCCACCACTCAAATAATAATAATAATAATAAAATCATCACTCAAAATAGATCTTTTAATCGTTATTCCCCTTGGTATGTGCGACGGGTGCTGATTGTTAATGTGATGCCGGACGTAATTCCTCATCGGAGCATATTATGGCGGCGCTACGGCTGAGCCACCCCGTAAAGAGTTGTCTTGTCCGCTACTTTGAGGTACTCATTTGTCTTTTAAAAAGAAATGATCAAATGTGTCCCATGCGTGCCCTGAATCCCGATGATGATAATGCTGTATTAATAAGGAACTAATGAAAGAGTTATGTTTCTGAACTGATGATGACAGTTGATAAGAATTGATTATTACTTCTCCAGTATGGATTATGACGAGTCATAAATTAACCCTAGGTCTATTGGGCCTAGGATTAGGTTACTTGGAGATTTAAGTCACCGCCTAAACCTATAAGTCACCGCCTAAACCTAATACGACTAGGTTTCAGATTTCAGAAAACAGTTAACACCACCTCTATTTCAGGTTTCAGGAAACAGGTAAAACCACCTCTAGTGGTGCCTCTTCCATAATTCATATTTTCTACCTATCTTCCGACTAGGTTTCAGATTTCAGAAAACAGCTAACACCACCTCTATTTCAGGTTTCAGGAAACAGGTAAAACCACCTCTAGTGGTGCCTCTCCCATAATTCATATTTTCTACCTATCTTCTACACCTTCTACACACGACACACATCCCTCTCTCTCTATTATCTCTATTCCCTTATTGATTTAAGTATCGGAGAGTCTATGTATCGGAAAGTCTACCCTCGGGAGACACCCGAGGTTCTGCATGCATCGGAGAGTCTACCCTAGGAGACACCTGAAACTCTGTCTTGCAGGTTTTAGGCCGTTCGCCGCCGCTTAGGTCATCATTACCGCCCGTCCTAAGTAACGTGTAAATCCATGCTTCGTCAGATTAATTAGTTAGTGAAAGAAATATTGTTTAATGTGAGGGACACAAAAGTGAACAATTTCTTTTCCTCACTGTGACATGTACTTGTTCATATTTTCATAACACTAAATCAGATACAATTTCTGGCGGGACGCCAAAACTCTCTCAATCAATGCTGCCGGTGGACTATGTGAGGGAGGTTTTGAATCTTTCTTTTCACAGAGAATTTAGACATTTGCTTCATTGCCAAACTTGGAATATACTACTTGTTACCCTTGGTATAATAGCTGTTAGTGCGTTTAAGAATGCAATTATATATATTGATTAAGGGTATCTTGTTTTGATTAAAGCATGATTAAGGAAGTAAGGTATTGTGTGTTTGCTTTCCTAAACAATGGCTTTGCTGCTCTAAATCAACTCTAAGCACCATTAAACATTGTTTTATAGCTGTTTTATATGCCAAAGAATTCAGGGGAAAGACAGAATACTGCAGTTAACAAAAGAATTGGGTTAAACTAGAGCTTGTTTGGTTTTCATTAATCCCCACAAAAACAAAGACAAACTCAAAGAGCTCACATATTTCAAGGATGGCTGAACTTTTAATTTCAAAAATAATAGATGGGCTCAGTGATGTTTTGTTGAAGCAAGTTGAGGAGAGAGTTAATTTGGTGGCCGGTGTTGAAGTGGAGGTGCAAAATCTCTCTTCCAAACTAACAAAACTCGAAAACTTGTTAGGTGATGCTGCGAGGAGAAGACTGCAGGAGAAGAATGTTTCCATATGGCTGGAAGCGCTTGAAGGCATCACTCACGAGATGGAAGATGTACTGGATGAATGGAACATCAAGATTGTTCGTCCCCAGGAGCTTGATCAGCAGGGAGGCGGGAGCTCAAGTACAGTCTCTAGCATTCTTAGGAAAGGTGCATTCTTTTATCCTGTCTCTTTGTTCTTGTCTGAAACAAGTTCCAATTCTAAGCGAAATCGCCCTGAAAATTAAGGAGATTAATGCTAAGCTAGAATCCACTCTAAGAGAGGCAAATGAATTTAAGTTTCTTAGTACCCCCGAGTTTTAGCCAAATGCTCCCCCCTGAATATAGGCGCCCCATGACAACCTCCATCTTTGATGAATCAGAGGTCCATGGTCGAGATCCTGATAAGCATTCCCTGATTAAGCACATGGTTTTTGAGGTTAAGGGTGATGGGGTTAAGGTCATCTCCATTGTAGGGGCTGAGGGTAGTGGAAAAACCACACTAGCTCAACTTCTTTACAATGATGATAAAGTGAATAATCATTTTGAAGTAATAAATGTGTATGCGTATCAGACCCTTTTGATGAGAAAAGGATCGCAAATGCTATCCTTGAGGGGACGAGAATGAGTGGTACTAGCAATCTGTCAGAGTTGGAATCACTACTCCAAGCTGTAAACAAAACCTTTCTAAGAAGAGATTCCTACTTGTCCTCGATGATGTTTGGACTGAGGATTACTCAAAGTGGAAACTGTTTAGAGACTCGCTCAGGGGTGGTGCTCCTGGAAGCATAATCATTGTGACGACTAGAAAGGAAAGTGTGGCAATAATAGTAGGCACTGATTATCAACATAGTTTAGGCCTACTGTCCAACATGGATTGCTGGCTAATCATTAAGCAGATAGCATTGTCTAAAAGATCAGAACTGTGTTGGAAAGTGGAGAAGGCAGGGCTTAAAATTGCAGAAAAATGCAAGGGATTGCCACTCGCTGCAAAGACTGTAGGAAGCCTGCTGCAATTTAAAGACACTCCATTAGAGTGTTGCGAGAAGTTTTGGATAGTCAGATATGGCAAATGAAGGAAGCATCCATGGAGCTTTTTCCCCATTTCTATTTGAGTTATAAGGAGCTATTCCCACAGTTGAAACGATGCTTCTCATATTGCGGGGTCTTTCCTAAAGATAGTCGTATGAAGGTGGATACATTAATAAAATTGTGGATGTCACAAGGTTATCCTGCTGGTTCAAGTACAAAATGTGATGATAGGATGGAGAAGAGGGGGCGTGAGTATTTTAAAATTTTGGCAATGCGATCCTTTTTCCAAGATGCAGAGCAGGATTTAGAAAGGAATGGCATAACCTCAGTCAAGATGCATGACATAATTCATGATTTTGCACAATTTGTTACAAATTATGAATGTCGTGTATTTGGAAATGCTAATTCCCCGGAGGTAGGTGATAATTCAGGATGTTTCAGAGGAAGAGTTCGCCACTTGTTGTTGATTGGCATGAAAACATCAACTAGTGTTTCCATAATCCCTGACATAGGCAAGGTGCGAAGTCTTTTTCTCTCCCATAGAAGTCAACTTCCCCAAGATTTGTTTACAAGTCTGAAATCTGCGAGGTCTTTAACATTGTCCAAGTGTGATTTCGGGGAACTACCACAAGAGATATGAACTCTAATTCATATCAGGTTGTTGGATGTGAGTTCAAATTGGTTTTCATGTTTGCCACAAACAGTATGTGATCTTTATTATCTGGAGGCCTTGGACGTCAGTTGGTGCAAGCGGCTTAAGTATCTTCCTCCAAGGATTGGAGACCTTGTACATTTGAGACACCTTCACAATGATGGGACAGTGAAGTTGAAACAAATGCCACCAGGGATTGAACAGCTAACTTGGCTTCGTAGTTTAACAAGATTCATTGTTGATGGTGGATTATCCAATACATCACGAAGTTGAAACTCTTGAACCAACTCGAAGAATTGCAAGTTGATGTTCATGGTAGTGATGTCGATTTTGAAAATGCTCTTTTGGAAAACAAAATCTACTTGTATAAGTTGACGTTGAGATTTGAGATGAGACATGGCTATGATTCAGAGAATGAGAGTTTGGTGGAGATGATAAAGTTAAAACCACCTCCAATTCTACAAGAGCTTCAGTTGTATGATTACCCGGCAACCCAATTGCCCGAGTGGATTGTAGCCCAACCGCTTGTTAATAATTTAAGAAGTTTGGCTTTGCTTGGTGCTAAGGTTTCATCATTTCCTTCTTTATGGAAGTTGTCATCACTTGAATCCCTCACTTTCGGGTTTCTTCCAAACATAAAGCACATAGGTCCCGAATTCTGTGGACTAGTTGATGATCTATCGGTAGAAGACTCCTGTGAAGGTGCTACAAGCTCACTGGTGGCATTTCCCAGTTTGAGAAGATTAAGCTTTATTTCTTTTTGGAGTTGGGAAACCTGGGAAGACATATCTGAAGAAGATGAAGAGAACATGGAGAATGGTAGGATCTCGATCCTGCCACGCCTTCAGCATCTCGAAATTTTTGGGGTTGATGAACTGAAAGCTTTGCCACATCGAGTCCTTAGAAGGACATCATTGCTCAAAACCTAGCACATCTGCAATAGTGACATATTGACAAGCCGATACTCCAATTAACACGCCGGGAAAGATTGGATCAACATATCTCATATTCCTAAAATTGTCATTATTAAGGTTAGATTACTTACCAAATTTGTTCCTTTGATTTGTAGTAGATCAACTGATTCTGACTATATGTTTTGCATTTCTGATGCAGGATGTTCTCTGAATTTGATGGATATGAATTCAGAGTTCATGGTTCAGAAACATAGAAGGTTGAGGTAAATATTGTGGATGATAAAAGCAGAAGATATAGCTGCGTATAGTACATTACATTGGAAATCATCCTTACCATTTCCTGTGGTTACATATAATATAATATTTTTACCTTTGTCAAAGCGTGTACATATAGTAGATTTTGACTCCAGTGCTTTTAACTCTCTAGGACTGCTCCCTCGATAATTCGCTCTTGGTCTTCCGGTCGCAAAACAACGTCGATGAAGACGTGTAGGTGCGCTATTCCGCGGTAGTGATTGTAATTTTCTATAAATTTCCCATTTGTCAGTCAACGACTGAACTTTGCTTATTTCTGTTTTTGAGGATCGACGAATCAAATGATATTTTTGTTCCAATTTTTGCCTTTTCTTCTCCCGCTGAATCAAATCTTTCCTTGCCATAATAGTTTAGTTACAGAAATTACTACTAAATAAACTGAGAGTAGCTTTTATAGCCGTAAGTTGCACCGGAAAGTTACATGTCATTTTTAATGAAAATCTTTTGCAGAGTTTTGTTGATTCTATCGAGTTGTCCAGTTATGAATGATCCACCGTGTCACACACATTATTTTGTTGTTCAAATTTAAGGTGTTGTATATATGTCATTCGCATTATTAGGGAAAGTAATTGTCAAGATAACTGAATGATCATGTCAATCATCATTATGAGATTCATCAATGATAGAAGCTTTGATGGGTCAAGAGAACCATAAATTTGTGAAACTGCAGGATCTTATTCGTCAAAAACTGCAGATTGTTGTGAAGATAATTCGATCCATAGTTTTGTTGCTCTTTAGGCTTTCATTGCATCTGTCCTTGTGAGATAGCGTTTGCATAAGATGTCAAAAGACGTAACTCCATTTACCATTGTCGTCAGCTATATAGCTTTTCTTTTGGTACGACTAGGCTTTTTCCCACCTTTTGTTGTCATGATAAGGTGAAAGGGTTAACTAAAAGTATTTGAAGAGGCAAAATACTCACCCTGGAAAAAAGAGCAAGTGCAGTAAACCCGTTATACAAATGCATTTGAACAGGCACAACTTTGAGGGCAGTAATAACTCGGGAACCTTCGTATGTCTTCAGTCAAGAATCAAGATAGTGACCAACAAGAGTAGGGATGCCCTCTGTTCTCAGTTCTTAAGACCAAATTTGAGCAAGTGACCAACAATAATTAATTTCTTATTGTCAAAATTCGAACAGCAAAAAAGACATTTCTTCTGCTTTCTCGGAACAATAACTCTGTTCAAAAGCAATGATAAACACCAAAGCTAAATGACACACACAGAAGCCTCACAGAGCAATTTCTGCTACAAGCTAAATCTTCTAGTTGGTATACACCAACCAAAGCTAACGAAAATTAGACTGGTTTCAAACAGAGAGTCTCGTGGCATGAGAAACACAGAACATGCAGCCCAAAAAATGATGTTTAACAAGGCATTGAGCTTTCAATCCCATAAACTGGAAACAACCATTATGATTAGTATAAAGGTATCAAGTGATTTCTAGCCTCAACAGATAACGAAAAATGTCAAACTTCGTTTAGTGATGGTTTTATTAAAAGAACCAGAGAACAGCAAAACAAAGAGCACACAGAAAAACAATGCCAGAATGCACAATTAAAATTGAAGCAAAAACCAGAAATGATGATTCTCATATTCATATCTTGCTTATGGCATGGGAAAGTAGAAATCCTAGTTAATGTGTGTCTGATAGGCAAAGTTTCCTGGCTGAAGGGAATCATAGTTGTGCCTAAGCAACTTCTAAAGAACTCCACATATTGAGAGAGGGAAAATCTTGGCCATACAATGCACAGAGAAAAGGAAGAAATCAAACACTAGAGCCAAGCATCATACGAGACGTGAGCCCTACAGAAGAAATCAAATTCCAAAAGAGTTTTAAGAGATGCTCCAAAAACCTTAAAAGGGGCACATAGCTAAGCATTAATCTCTTTCACCAAGATATTGATGTTGCAACATTTGGCTCAGAGGACATAGATGCAAGACACAGCCGAATAAAACTTCAACAAAGGGGGAAAAAATCCAAAGCTTGTGCAGAAATAAAAAGTTTTATTCGGTTGTGTCTATCATCCAACTAACATGGAAATAAGAAGTTTCGAAACAAAACAGGGCAGCAAAAAGGAAAACTTGTGCAGAAATCAAGGTTAAAAGTTTCTAGGTAAATTAATGAACATTGTTGAAGGACAAATGACCGAAAGACTGAAGTGATGACAGAGGTGCCCCCAATAAGTTCGAACATCAATCACAGGAGAAAAAACAATTCAACTAAATCTATAATCTTAGGTGCATCAATAACTGGAACATTTCCAGTAAACAAATTAACATTCGGCAGTCAACAAGCCTAAGTGCCCAACCTTCAGGACAACTCAAAACAGGCGGCTAAATCAAAGAATGGAAGACCACATTCACAGCAGGGTGGATTCAGAACAGGAACAAAAAAAAGCCCATAACATTGATATCGAATCTCAAAATTTTAACATCAGGGCATTAAAACATTACCAACGAGTCTCAAATAACAACTTAATTAAGTAACTATTAAGCAGGAAATCTGTAATTCGTAATACCCTAACAAGGTCCACAATCATCCAACAGGAAATGAAAACATTTCAATTTTCCAAAGCATTAGGCTTACTCAAAATCCACTTGAACAAACAAGTAACAGTGAAAACACTTAACGATAAGACTTCTGGAACCTAGAACGAGCACCACGACCACCAAACTTCTTGGGCTCGCACCGCCTGGGATCAGCAACAAGCAAAGTTCTGTCGTATCGAGCCAGGATGTCCTTAATCTCCTTCTTCGCCTGCTCATCAACGTACTTCTGGTAGAAGGCAACAAGGGCCTTGGCGATGGACTGACGGATAGCGTAGATCTGGGAGGTGTGACCGCCTCCCTTGACGCGGATGCGCATGTCAACTCCGGCGAAGCGGTGGCGGCCAAGGAGCAGGATTGGCTCGAAAGCCTTGTACCGGAGGATCTCCGGTTGGACCAGCTCGATAGGAACGCCGTTGATCTTGATCAGGCCGCGGCCTCGCTTGCAATGGGTAACGGCCACCGCCGTCTTCTTCCGGCCGAAACATTGAACGGATTCCGCTGGAGCAGTAGCCATCTTTGTTTGCTGTATTCGTCTACCTCTTTGCGCCGCAGTAAAACCCTAAAAACGCCCGAGCTGCTGTTTAGATTGTAGGGTTCAAGGCGGGTATATATACTAATTTGTATTTCCTGTTAACCCCTCAAAATTTTAAATAACTATACTTTATGTGCCCTTATAGATTGGAATTGCTCATTTTTGCCGTATCATTTGAACTAGTAATTTGTAAAAAAAAAAAAAAAAATTCTTTCTACCTAATGTAATGTAATAGTTTTCCATTAAAAAAAGATAATAAATTCAATTTTTGTTAATTATAAGTTCGAGTTTCGGGCAAAATAATATATAACTTTTGGAAATAAAATATATCAAACAAAAAGAACATCAAACCGCAACTTCCCAAAGCACAGGAGAATGGAGAGTCTCAAAGCTATTTCCTTACAACTTCGACTTGCTCTCAGGGATAAATTACTTACTTAAGACAGGTTGCATAAGCTGAATTGTTTTGAAGGAGCCCATCAAATGTGAGTTATGTGATGGGAATGAATAAAACGTTGATCATTTGTTCTTTTAGTGTGCTTACTCTCAACAACTGATAAATCAGTTAAAGTAATGGTTAGAAATGTAAATCCGTTCGAAATGCTCAAGGAATGATACAAGATGGTTGATGAAAACATGGTAGTATAGAAAGGTAACCAAAGATTTGCAGTAGTAGTAGCAATTGTTCATCACATATGGTCGAAAAGGAATAGAAGAAAGTTTAGACAGCAAAAAACTGCAGTGGACGATAATCTCAAGAGTATCAAAATGGTGGTAATATGGAAACTTCCCATTTACTTGTAAAAAAAAGCAGAAGCAGTGACATTTCCTTTTTAGATAGTATTGGTGCAAATTGATTGAGTAAATGTAATCGAAAGATAGCGTGATTTGCAATGGCGAAGTTACGAAAAAATCTCACTTGGGGGCACATTAACATTGTCAAATATTGACATCATGGTTTTTTTTAAAAAAATAAAAATAAAAGATGCTAGTGAAAATTATTCTCGTATTAAACAAATATTTGTCTCATACATTCTTATTGATTTAATAAGTTAATTGGACAACAAAATTTTGTAAACATATATCACTAATATAATATATAAAAGTAAATTTATAAATTTTCAAATGATTTTTCTGCTCTTAAAATTTTTTTCTCCCTTGAAAGAAGTCAAATTTTAATTAACATAAATAACCCCTTTTAAAAATAGAGCTTTGTTTTTTTTACTGTAGGTCAATTAGTGGGCTTTTCGAATTCTTAAACATGAAATATTAATATTTTTTAAAGCTCAATTCATATTAATTCTCCCCCAGCCAAGTAATTCACCTAATTAATTATAATTTTTATAATTTTTAAAACAATTAAATTAATAAATACGAATAAAATACTCTAAGAGTGGGCCCACTCCAGTGGGGGCACGTGCCCCACCTTACATTCGCCCTTGGTGATTTGTACATCTCAAGTTATTGCAATATAATTTTACCTTTGACAAAAAAAAAACAAAAGAACACCACAAACAGACAAGAAGAAATGATCATTACGAATAAATTTTTTATTGTGATTTCTAATTTTTTATCCTTAGTAATGGTTAGCTTAACTTTTCCTCTATTTTTTATCTTAAAATTAGATAGTTTCATGGAGAATCGAATCATCGAACTCCGGATAATAACTATTTCCCATTCTAATCTCCTAACGACCCCATCTAATCCTGCTCCTAAATTTTATTCCAAAAATTTTAAAAGAAAAAAAAAATGGTTCTTGAAACTATTGAAGAAAAAATGCGAACATTTAAAAAACAACAAGGTTGGCGTGGTGGTTCAGCACCTCATCCCTTAAGACCATCCCCAAAGGCAGCACCAATCTGGTGCACATATTTTGAAGTCCAACCATTAGCACCAATTCTATACCCAACTCACAATTCTCCTTTATCCTTCCTTTTTTTTTATTAAGTTTATTAAATTACAAAATTCAACCTATTTTTGTCCATATTTCAAATGTAGCCAAAAATTTTGTATCGACATTACAAAAAAAATATTATAATAAATTAAACTAGATTCTGGACCCGTGCATTCGCACGGGTACACAATCGACTAATTTTTTTGTTTGCGTTTAAATAATATTATGTTATAATTGCACGTGGTTGCAAATATTATGTAGGTGTAATGAGATTAAAAAAAAAATCCTTTTCAAGAAAGACTAAATATTGAAATGAATTTATCCTTAACAAAAAATATAAAATAGTTAAACTGTTAAAACAGTTAAAAACTTAAACTATGAAAAGATTTTCAGATTTGAGGATATTCAAACTGAAATTATTGAAGATGTTGAATTTTGAAAAGATCGATTCTTGTAAATCATCATTTTTTGGGAATCTTCAAAAAATTATACACAGTATTTAGTGAAAAACTTTGTTCACTGAATTTAGTCACATAATAATGAAGTTATACTATGCCTAGATACAACGTCAATCATTACAGACATTTGCGTAAAGATTTGATTGCTAATCACTTTTGGTACCTGCCAAACAATATCTTTGATACCTTCCTTGTGTATAACTTTTGGATTTGTATTTGACATCATCGATGAATTATCTGCGATGTCAATGATCTCAATTTTGAGAGTTATTGGGTGAGATCCATTTGCTTTCATTGTAATTGTGCGCTAAGATATTCTTATAAATTCGTCTCATTCTTGTGGGATCTTTTTAGTTTGAATATTCAGAGTATCTCAGTTTGGTTAATATGAGTGGTTTTTGGTTTTTTTAGAAGATTAGAAACTTGAATTAATTAGGCTGTTATTTGGGACAAGTTTCAAAAGAGGCTTGAATTAGATGGTGATGAGAATTGTGATGCCTGGAGAAAACCAATCAGTAACCGTTTGTTTCTATCGTGGGTTTCTTTTTTTTTTTCTTTTTTTTTTTGAAATAAATCTCATGAAATTGATAAGTGGATATTTTAAAGGAGAGCTTTACAAGTAGAATTTTGAGAAAAAACTGATTTTTACTATAATGGAGTTTATTTATAGATTCTAGATTTGAGAAACCGTATTTCATCAAACTAAGAATTAAAATAACATTTTATTATAAAAATGAAAACATACAAACTTGTAATAACATTATAAATTAAAAGGACAAACTAAAAAATAAATAAATAAATAGATATAACATACATTAATTTCCATGATGACCACTCCTTGCCCACAAATGAACAATCAGTGCATTCCTTAGTTCGTAATGTGCATCCTTGTTCCTATTTTGTTTATAACGAGTAATAAATTCTTGAAATCGAGCATGTTCTCTTGGTACCCGAACAACATTTATGTACGGAACTATTCGTGTTTCTGTAATTGGTTCATTGAGATCGGTTTCGTCTACCACTATCATATTGTGCGTAATAATACAAGCGGGTATAATATCATATAACACTTCTTTATCCCAAAACGAACTGGAGTTCCAACAATTGCACATCGAGATTGAAGAACTCCGAATGCACGCTCCACATTTTTTCTACACGCTTCTTGTTTCTGAGCAAAATATTTTGTCATATTGGTACTTGAGTTTTGAATTGATTACACAATAGTCGACCACTTTGGATAAATACCATTAGCTAAATAATAACCCACAATATACTCTTTTCCTTGGATAACATAATTAGTCGGAGGTGCAACCTTGAGCTAGATTAGAAAATAAATGTGAGGATTCTAAAACATTAATGTCATTATTTGTACCTGGCATAAAAAAAAAGACGTGCCAAATCCATAGATTATAATTGGCTATAGCTTCAAGAATGATGGTTGGTGATCCAGAACGTCTAACATATTGTCCTGCCCATGCTCTTGGAAAAATTTTTCACCTCTAATGCATACAATCGAGACTACCCAGCATGTCAGGAAAACTACGTTGTTCGCCAATATAAAATAACCTAGCAATGTTATTAGCTGTTGGTGATCTAAGGTACTGCTCTACGAAAATCTTGGCAATAGCACGACAAAATCTCTTACAGCATTCAATCGCAATTGACTCACCAATTTTGATGTATTCATCTGTAGCATCTGCGGATGAGCCGTATGCTAACATACGGATAGATGCAGTTGATTTTTGTAAACTTGATAATCCAGGTTTACCAGTTGCATCCATTGTAAACTTGATAACCGTTCATCCACGATACCTAGGAAAAATAAAGATGAACAAGAAATTTTGATGCACATTTGGGATCAGGAGGAAGGTTTATATAGATATATTTAAAGTGATATGAGATAAGACGGTAATTAAATGAACGGTTGATATAGTAAAGAAATCCAATCGAATGGTTCCGGTGAAAATAATATTGAAGATAATTTTTAAAATATTTTTACAAATATATGTCTTGTCCATAAATTGACTATAGTACACTTAGACTATAGTGAAAGTATGGATATGCAGAAGATAAAAATGAATGGGTGTTCAGCTTTTTTTTCCGTTTTGGTTTAGAACTTTAAGGTAGCTAAAGTCCAAAATATGCATTGTAGAAATATTTCGGCTTAATTTAGACAATAGTGAAAGTATGGGTATGCAGAAGATAAAAAGGAATGTGTGTTCAGCTTCTTTATTTTTTCCTTTTTTGTTTAGAACTTTAAGGTAGCTAACATTCAAAATATGTATGGATTGTAAAAATATTCCAGCTTAATTTGGACTATAGTGAAAGTTTGGTTCTGCAGAAAATAAAAAGGAATGGGTGTTCAACTTTTTTTTCTTTTTCTTTTTCATTTACAACTTTAAGGTAGCTAATCTCCAAAATATGCATTCGTTGAGAACTATAATGAAAGTATGCTTATGTAAAAGATTAAAAAGAATGGCGTGTTTAGATTTTTTTCATTGACGATAAGATATATTCCTTGAAAATTTCAAGAGAATGAAAAAAATAATAACAATCAATAGTAAAATAATTTAAGATGAATCAATCTTAAGCATCAATATATTCAGCTTCCAGTTTAAATAAGAACTAATTTATGCATTAAGCAAACTTTAACCTAAGATTAAAAGCGATTGAAATGATT